TGAGCTGAAGCGCGAGGTAACGCCAGGTGGGTGGCGATGCTGGTAGGGGGGGGGGAGCAAAAGTGCGAGAGGGGGCAGGGATGGAGGGAAACGTCTCTCACCTGTGCGCATTTCGTTGGCCTACTCTCGCCACGACTGCCGGATGCTACGCGGCGATCGTCCGGCGCGTCGCGGCACGTAGTCGCTCCGCTCGTCGTCGAGTTAGATCATCATCCTCGGCTGCTTGTGCGTCTCGTCTTCGTCCTCGTCGTCGTCAGTGCTCGTGATCTTGTCGTGCGTGTGCAGCGGGCGTCAGTTCGCGACGAGAGATCACCGGAAGAGATCGTCGATCGCTTCGAGCGACAGCGTCGCGCGTGCGATATGGTGTGACCGTCGCGTCAAGTGCGTGCAGATAATCCACGAGTCTGTGCTGTTGGGGGAGAGATAGAGAGAGAGGTGTCATAATATTTGCACGTCGATGCACCTGTCGAAGCGCTCACACCGTCGTCTCTCGTCGCGCGCTGTCTCTAACCGGCGCGGTTCCGCTTCGCGGCGACCGGTGCCTGAATGGTTAACGTGCCGGCGCGAACGAGCAACAGTTAACAGCGATGTTTCCCTTTGTCGGCTCGCTATGAACTTTATTCTCATGACTGACTTCGAATTAAATCATTACCGTCCGTGTATCGGCCGAGATTGAACGTTGCACTGTCGATCTCACGTTGTTGCTGAAGACCCAGGCGATTGCAGCTCGGGCTCGCCGCTACCTTCCAGACAGACATCGCCATTGATATTTCCTCGATTCCTTCTCATCGTCGCGAATCTGCCGTCGGATTTCCACGAGAAATTCTTTGACGTCAATCGGGTTTTAACAGATTGAGTGCAGTTCTCGTGCTGCGCAGAAAATACGTCCGTAGACGGGCCGGCGTTCTCGTTTAATTAATTGCGCGCCGCGCACGCGGGTTAAGTCGTAGTGTTTTCGACGAGAATAAACAACCCGCGATTTGGTGTACGCACGCACGCACGCACGCACGGCGATGACGATGACGGTGTGTTTGTCATATATGTAAATGAACAGTTACAGCTCGCGGACGAGTCGCGGCTTGAACGTTTCGCTCGGGTAAAGCCCGCTGGCGCGGGCGGGATAAAAGGTGACACGCACGTGTGCCGCGCGCGAACCGCCGACAAAATGTCGATCTACCGATTCAGCAAGGGAGGCAGGCTGTTCGTGCAGGGCACGCGGGAAGACGACGATCGCGATGGCGTTTCGCCCAGCCCGACCGGCCCACGTTCCGCCGACGATTTGCGAGCGGTGTACACGAAACGCCGCTTGTCGACCGAGGTCTTAGGTAGAGACACGTATAGTTTTCTGAAGGCTCGGAAAAGAGAGCCGAGGTTTTCCCATTCTTCCATGGATTTCTCTTCGGTTTCCACTCTAAGAAAATTCATTCAGAAAATTCACGCGTCTGCGGTTAAGACCTGCCACATTTACTTTTTGTCGTAAGGAAAAGATATATAGGGAAAAAAGTCTCTTCGGATTTAGCATGTGTTTATTTGACTTTCAACATCAAATATCATTCTGCTCGAATGAAAATGCTGTTGTTACATTAGGGTAAGCTATGTTGTTTGATGGAAAAAAGTGGGTGTTATTTAAAAGAAATAATAATTGGTTTCCAAATGAAAATAATCTGTTTCACTATATATTAAATATTGTTCCATTGAAGGCAAAGAAGCTCTTTAATATTTTTCTAACATAATGTATGTTACTTCTTTCAAGTAATTTATTGCTTGTGACAATCATTGTAACATTTAGACAAAAATATAAAAAAAAATCTGTTATTTGACGTAAAGATATTTATTGTTTAAGAGACCAAATAATCCTGTTCATTGAATCAAACATTCGTTCGTTTGCTTTACTCCAAAGGGCAAGTTTATTTAAAATAAAGAAATTTTACGAAATCCAAGGAAATCTTCTTTTCTACGTATAAGAAACCGGAAAAATTCTGCGGAAAAAAAATGGGAAAAAAACTCAATTTTTCCGAGCCTTCGAAGCTATAGAGACGATCGAATCGAGGAGAGAAAGAGCCGGGGAGGATTCACTTGGACGATCGTGCCCGAGAGCGGTGCACGAGTCGCGACTTGGCAGGAGAGAGCGGTCCGGTTTCTGGTTCATGAAATGGAAGTCGGTTCACCGAGAGTTCGCGACGTTATGTCGCGAATAATCGGGGTCGATTAATTGAGAAGCGAGCTTTCATCGGTGGAGAGAATTTACCGTGGCGACGGGGGAACCGATGAGTCGTGTGCCTTTTTTTTTTTTTTTTTTTCATTTATTGTCGGTGCAGTTATCGCAATAATGCCGGTAATCGTCGGCATCGATACACGCGGCGTGTAAACCATCTCTCGGCGGTTTCTCCGTTGCCGGTTGTCCTTTCTCAGCGCGCTATAATAAGCCGTTGCATCATCGCGTCTGCTTCTCTCCGTCTCTCGTTCGTCTGCTAACGAAATCGAACCGAGGTTTTGCGAAATTAAATGTTAATGTCATTCGGGCGTTCGGTAGTTGGGCGCGCGGACGAGCACGGGACGTGCTCGCCCGCGGGTACGCTCAGCGCGTGAACCGGGAATTACGGGGAGTAGAAGTTCGCGTGTGTCGATACTACTCACGACTCGCGGAGGCTCGCGTATCGTCTTCAGGTGAATCCCTTTCGAGTCTCGATCTCGCGCGAAACCGTTGCTCCGATCAACGGGACACGTTTCGCTCCGATCTCTGCATCGTCTGGCTGGCACACACGGTAGGTTCGTCGATCGAGTCGACGAAAACCTCGAGACGCGGTGAGAACGGCACCAAGCGCATCGTCACTCGCATCGTCCGCAAGACGACCACCTTGACGCGCGGCGAGGAGCGCAGCGTCCCCGAGGATCTAACGAGACGCGCTCACTCGAAGTACCTGCAGGACGCCGGTTCGTCGACGACGGCCATAGCTCGGCATGTCCCGGCGAAGCCGAAAACCGTACGGGTAAGCTCGAGCGCGCGAGAGCTCGGGGAAAATCCCCCTGTCTGTTATTCACAGAGCATCGATGAAAAATGCAGGAATGCGGTGGGAGTGTGTGCTCACGCTCGAAAGTAAACCAAGTGCGACGAGGACTCCGCGGTACGTGCGGTTAGCACCAGCGGAGGAATTCGCGCGTTGAAGCTCACCGTAAAATCGCGCTAAACCTAAACGCCGCGCTCTCCCAAAAGGAACACTCTCTCCTCGTAACGGATGCGTCGTCTTAATTAGGATCGGAACGCTTACCCGCGGCGATACACTCTCTTTGGTATAGTCCCGTAGCTCTGTTACCGTTCGCTGTCTCTGTTCACCGTTACGTTACTTCGACCCTGCGATTAATCCGGTAAGGAGGTGTTTTCTGCACCGGCCGCGAGGCCGTTTCGTCGCGTTAACTAGCGGGACACGAAGAACGAAAGTCGACGAAAAAAGTGGTCTCTACTTATTCGTCGATCCGCTTTCGATCTCACTCGACAAAGACCCGACCGGACTCGGGTGAGGGGACTTCGAGAGAAGCTCGAAGATGGATTCTCAACTACATCTTAGGAATATGCCCGTTTTCAATCCACGTTTTCGTATCGATTTTCTGAATCGTACGTGGCATAAATACTAGCAGTAGTTAACTACTGAAATTTTACTTTCAAAGTCGATTTCCTCGAGAACAAAGTTTCATACGGAACATTTTTATTCTACATTTTCGATTTATTCCTCAAGAGGAATCATTCCCTTCCCGGGGTTATTCCCACCACGATTACTAACTCACTCTGTATATATTGCAATTCCGCGCACAATACGTTTGAACCATTTTTATTTACTAACCTACTAATCTTTATTAATCATAACTGTATAAAATTCAAAATCAAATTTTGCTTTAAGACACCAATATTTTTCAGACTTTCAATTATACGACTGTGCTTGACTCGAGTTACATTGCGCTATGGGGTAATAGTAGTAAGATCCTTAACCTTCTTATATACAACTTGAATATGCGGTATTGCTGCTCGATGAATTAAATCACGCGAAGATCGAACTCCTCACACGGGACTCTCCGCAACCTGTTGCTGCGACTCGCGTGGGACGAGGGAAAACAGATGGCGTGGTCAAGATAATCCGCCGAAATGGCGTGGTTCCTGTATACGTGAACGTATGCGAGAAAACGCGATGACATTCGCGGCACTAACGCTTGACGCTCAGCGCTTTTATCAATGTCAATAGCGACTCGGTCTTTGAAATGGACGCGATCTCAATTCATGCGTCAGTGCCAATGTCAACCACATTGCCAATGGTATTTGTCTCTATTATCTTTATTATCTCACTACTTGAGTCGAGTTTGGTAAGGGAGCCAGGCGATGAAGCGTCTTCATCGTTAAATATCTACGAGCGGTCGAACGGAAAGGTCTTCGAGAAGTTTTCGCCGACTAAGATCGCAGAAACTTGCTAGAAAAAATTTAATCATAAATAACACAGCTCGAATCAAGCACCGTAATTTACGACCGCGACGAATGTTCCCTCGGCGCCGGCTGGTTAGCGAAATGTCAATGGTTCTTGAAAGGTTGCAGCATTCAGTTTCTATTAACTTCAAGCCAGAAATTAGAACCGCAGAAGGCAGCGTGTAAGTTTTATATAACGCTCGTGCGCGTAGTTTTACGCTTGACGATTTTAAATCAAAAGACCGGTATAACTTTGTTTCGAACGCAGCGGGAAACGCTCGTCGAATATCACCAATCAAGGATCTTATAGTCCGCTGTTCTTCGAGACACTTCCATTTCCATTACGAAGTTATCGCAGGGTGTTTTATAGCGGTTTTAATATTATATTGTTCCGCCACTCGTAGCAAAAAAAATGAGATCCGGAACGTTGCGGAATAGCGTAATCGAAGGGCGAACCGAAATCTTCATTTTCGTTTTATCGTACATTTTCAAGACTCTTTTCTACTTCCTTCATTCTGTAGCTCGACAAGGGACGTTCTCCTGTTCACAGATATCCGATATAGTGGTGGGCCAAGAACCGAATGTGACGGCACGCGAGGCTCTGTTGAGATGGGCCAGACGCTCGACCGCTCGATACCCCGGCGTGCGAGTGACCGATTTCACCGGTTCCTGGAGAGACGGTCTGGCTTTCAGCGCTCTTCTACATAGGAATCGACCGGATCTGGTCGACTGGAGAACAGCGCGTGCAAGCCAGCCGCGAGAACGGCTCGATCGGGTCTTCTACGTCGCCGAGCGCGAGTACGGCGTTACGAGGCTTCTCGATCCAGAAGGTAATGACCGATTATTGATCGAATGTACCGTCCGCACCGGCAGCACCGGTTGCAACCAATTCGTTTGAATCCACTGACGGCCGACGTTCTATTCTTAGGAAACAAATATTCCGCAAATATTTTCTTATTGTTTACTTATTTATTATTAACGGAGGATCGACCCATTTGATACGTCGGTATAAAATGAAAGTAAGAGAGCAAGATTAGCACATAAAAGTAAGTAAAACAAAGCAATGTTAAAGGGTAATAAATAAAAGAAAAATAAAACACAATTACACTGAAACGAGCAACAACCACAAATTGTTAGTGAAAAGTAGATATAAAATAAAATAATTGCGGTATACAATGTACACTATAATAATAACAAATAATAACAAAATAAAGTCGTAAGGTATAAATTACATAACTGCAAGGTATGGCAAGCAAAGTTACATATTCTAGTAATCGGGTCCCCGTACGAGAGATTCAAGCGATAAAGGACGGGGCGAAACAAAGGAACATTGTGAATGGGCCTCGGACGGGCATTAAAATTAATCAGTACCAAGAGTGCGGGGCAGTTAAGATTACCAGCAATGATATTATATAGGATGTTCCAAAAATCAACGTATGTGCTTAGCATGACAGATGTTTTTTTCGACATTTTAAGACGAAAGTACGAAAGCGTCGAGACATCGATAATTTTCGAGATACAAGCGATCAATGAATCTGCTTGCAAATTAAATTTCAAACGACCGAACGGGTCACACATTCATGAATATTAAATAAACCCAAGTCAGACACGTATACTCAATCCAAAGGAACCCTTTCCTCTACGTAGTCGTGTTATTTTACACTATTCCTTGCGCGTCTCGGCACAAGTTGCTATCATCGTAAATACAGTCCTACTTGCCGTTCGGCTGATTCTCCTCGGCTTACGTGTGTGTGTATAGTTCCCGCGGGCTACTAACGCGGATACGTGGTGGCGGTGCACGTTCTTTCTGGTCACGGTGTCTGACCAGAATCACTTCCGGTCTCGGTTCGTACACCGTAACGTCGCGCCATCGGCATTCGTCGTAATTATGCTTTCTGTACGTGGGTCTTGCAGGTTTCTGACATTGGTCAGGTTGCAAGTAGGAACACTATGTGTTAGTAGATAACAGAAGAGAGAGAATTATTGAAAAAGGTTGCTCATGATAAATTCCAACCGGATTTTCTCGAGAAACCAACATCTTTCAAGTCCCCTTTGGCGCCTTCGATTTTCTTTTAATATCATTAAATTTACTGTTAACCAATGGCCGATTTCAAATCGATATTTCATTCTACACGCTGCACTCTGCGCAGATGTTGACACTCCTGAGCCGGATGAGAAGTCCTTGATAACGTACATCTCTTCGCTCTACGACGTATTCCCGGAGCCACCGGCCATTCACCCTCTGTACGATGCCGAGGCGCAGAGACGATCCGCGGAGTATCGCGAACTGGCCAGCTCGCTTCACATGTGGATCCGCGAAAAGATGGCATTAATGCAAGAACGATCCTTCCCGCCTACCCTGATCGAGATGAAGAAACTGGCGGCGGACAGTACGAAATTCAAGAATGAGGAAGTACCGCCGCGGTACAGGGACAAGCAGAGGCTGACGTACATCTTCCGAGACCTGCAGAAGTATTTCGAAGCGGTGGGTGAAGTGGACATGGAACCGGAATTGCACATTGATGTCATAGACAAGAATTGGAATCGCCTGATTATGTTACATCAAGAACGCGAGCAGGCCATCATAGACGAAATCAAACGGTAGGCCCAATTGTAACGTCAATTGAACACAATCTTTCTGTCAATCTATGTGACATTTTCTGAATTGAATATACCTGCGCTGCCATCAAGTCACCTTTCGTCACTATTTCTTCTCTATCTGTATATATCCTCTTTGTATTTAAAATTCTAATCTAAATGGTTTCGTTAATTGCTGTGATATATTGGAACATTTTAGGTTTAACATTCCGTCAAAAATATTTCTACGTTCCAATTTTTTGCGTTGAAGGTCATAGAACATCATTGTATTTTAGCTAATGAATTTTTTTTTAATATTAAATTTTTTTGTTAGCATGTCTTTATCTTTCAAGAACTCACTTCTGCAAATTCTTTCACTGAAATATAATTGAGTAATCTTTTTTCTCAAATAAACATTTTAATTATTTAATTAGTTATTTTTATTATTCGGACTAAATTATCACCATGTATTTCTTTCCTGTTTATATATTTACTAGTCTTTTTAATTGTTGATCTATCCTTGCTCATTCATCCTTCAATTCTATTCGTATATGCGTACTCTATATAATAATTTAATTTTATTATTATGATTCATTTTTTAATTACTATCATTATTTGCCACTGCCGTTTCTTAATGATCTGCCGCTACATTGTTATATATCATTCTTTTTTTATCGCTCTTTCTTTTTCTGAACGAATTTTTCTTTCACCTAATAACTAAATTCCCGTTGATAAATGATGATTACGATAATTAATATGTCTGTGGGAGGATACAATTTTAAATTAAATGCCACTTAAGAATCCGCGCTTCGGCTCCTATGTGTTTCATGCTTAATATTTTGAAATACATGTGTTGGAAAACACGAGTGAGACGTGTGTATGCATGTGTGTTTATGCGTGTCGGCAGACTCGAACGCTTGCAACGACTTGCCGAGAAAGTACATCGCGAGATGAAGACGACCGACAACCGACTGGAGGAACTCGAGAGACGTGTGGAGGACGAGGCCCGCAGACTCGATCGCCTTCACCCCCTGGAGGCGAAGCATGCGGTGGACCTGCTGGAACAGGACATACGCAACACGGAAACTCAAATACAGAATATATTCACTGATGTGCACACTCTTACGGAGGGTAGATACAGTCAGGCCGCCGAGCTCCATAAGAGGTACAGTATTTTTCGGTTATTTAATACTACGGCTCTTCAGCGAAAGGCGCGGCCAATAAAAATTCCTCGGTTCTATTTCGTGGCCGTTCGAATGAACGAACCTGTTAACATACGTAACTTGCGTGCATTTCTGCTCTCGACTGCGTAATTACATTATTTCTATTCGTACGATTCTTGCTAATGAGGAGCTGACTATTAAAGCGCGCGCGCGCGCGTACTCTTCATCGCCGACAACTTTCGAAAGTCTAGTCCTGTAACGTGTTCAACAACTTTCCAAATGTCTCGAGGCGCATTCATGTATCCATTTAACTATCTAAAACTAACCATCTATTCGTATCTGTTGTTAGAGTGCAGAAACTGCATCAAAGGTGGGTGGTGCTACGGTCCCTCCTGCACAGGCGTCTGGTACAACCACTGTCCGCGGTATCCTTCCCCGTGGAAGAGCGCGTTGTCACGAAACACCGCACCACCGTTCACGAAACCCGACTGGTCGACACGAATCCTCACTTCCGCTCGTTGCACGACTGCATAGACTGGTGTAAGAGCAAGCTGAAGCATCTGCAAGAAGCGGATTACGGATCGGATTTGCCCAGCGTGCAGAATGAATTGGACGTGCATCACAGAGAGCACAAGAATATCGATCAGTTTCAGGCTAAGGTCGACAAGTGCGTACAGGCGAAGAACAATTTCCACGGCGAGGAGCTCACGCTGTACACCCAGCATCTCAGCACTTTGCAGAAGCTCTACGCCGAGCTGCTCGCCATCTCGAATAAGAGACTCTCCGATCTGGACACCCTGCACGACTTCATACAGTCGGCGACCGGCGAGTTGGTTTGGTTGAACGCCAAGGAGGAGACCGAAGTCACGCGCGATTGGAGTGACAAGAACCTTAATGTACAGAGCATCGAACAATATTACGAGGTTAGTTATTATTAGAATTTTGTCGAGGTACTCGAGGAGGAGCGAATTTCCAGTTTGTCCGGCTTTTACATAAGACGATGGTTATGAAATAATGTAAGTAAGTAACTGGGTTCTGTTCTATTCTATATTTTCACGTTATAATATGCACGGAAGGAATCTCAGTTCTTGTACAATCGAATGGGGATTAGATAAAAACTCGGTGACAAGAAATGATTTCTCGGTTACCGTGAGTGAGCACATGCGAACACGTGCGAATATTCAGCTATTAAAACTCGGCTGAGACAGCTGAAAGTATTTTTATTGAGTAGAAATTTCCTACAGGAGTTTTTCTGTCCCTACAACTGAGTTTTCATTTGATCCCCAGACAATGGAAAATCCAGTTGCACCAAGGATTTTTTTTTTTTTTTTCGTATAATATACTCAGCGCTACCATCCAGTTATTTAAGTCAGTTTTTGTCACTTTTTCTTAACAAGTCGTTAAAAAATTCACTATCATCCAAAGTGGATCACTTTTTCTAGGCTGCCGTTAAATTTGTAAAATATTGGCGCCCTATATTTTTGCTGTCTCTCTTAATAAAATTGTTCCGAAAGCGCATCATTCACGTCTTTAGTTTTTTCTTACTATGAACTTGCAAACCGTACTATGAAAAGAACTCATTATATGTTAAGTTATCCAAAGATAAACTTAGGAAGGTGAGAATATTATTTTTTTTGTTTAAATGCCTTAGTTATTCTCAGAATTTGACAAAAAATCTTTTTTTTGTCACCTTTTCTACTAAGAGGCAGTTACTATTTCCTTTTTTTCGTTCCTATGGCTGAATGACAGCGCTGAACATACTAAAGCATTCCTTCCTCCGATCAAATTGGATTAATAAATTAGAACTTTTCTCCTTTCGAAAGCAAACGTACGGATCTGGCATAGAGGTAAAATAGTTGGAGAAAATATGCTAGTAGTAGTAGTAGTAGTAGCTTTTAGCTTAGACTCTTAGACTAATCACGCATGTATGCATTATCCGTAGACATGATTTCCAATGAAAATTCGCAAATGATTTCTTTGCAGTCTTTGATGAGCGATCTGGAGAAGCGTGAGATACAATTCTCGGCAGTGCAAGATCGCGGCGAGGCGCTGGTCCTCCAGCATCATCCTGCGGCCAAAACCATCGAAGCTTACATGTCGGCGATGCAGAGTCAGTGGGCTTGGCTGCTCCAGCTCACCCTCTGTCTCGAGGTGCATCTGAAACACGCCTCGCAAAATCAGCAATTCTTCAAAGATATTCAACAAGCCGAACAGTGGATCTCGAAACGAGACGAGACGCTGAACACCGTTTACTCGCAGTCCGACTTCTCGTTGGACGAAGGAGAGCGCCTCTTGAAGGGCATGCAAGAGTTGCGCGAAGAGCTTAACAATTATGGCGATCACGTACAGAGACTCGTGGAGAGAGCGAAGGATGTCATTCCCATGAAGCAACGTAAACAACCAGTTATGCGACCGTTACAAGTGACCTGCATCTGCAGCTACAAGCAAGTCAATGTGAGTTTGTCTATTTCTAAAATGGCTGAATTAGGAGAAGTATAGACAGGGCGTCTCTACTGCCTGGAGAAACTTGAAAAACTTAGATTTCTTAGATTAGAAAAAAAAAACAGTTCAGGATCTTTCGACTTAATTTTTCATTAATTTCAATTTTAATTAATAAGGAATAACGATGTATAAACCGTAGGTACGAACTTATTAACATTTTCATTGATGAAATTATTAACTAAATTGAATGTACTAAATTGAACGTATAAATTTATAAACGTATGAATATAAATTTATAAATATCACGAATTTATTCTCTTATCATTGTGACTGTCACAACATATTATTTTCGATTTACGTTCTCTCTGTAGATGTCCATCGAGAAGGGGGAACAGTGCACGGTGTACGACAATTCCGGCCGAGTCAAGTGGCGCGTGAAGAACACACAGGGTGTGGAAACCCCCGTACCAGGTGTGTGTTTCGCCCTGCAGCCTCCCGACAAAGAAGCGCTCGACGCCGCTGAAAGGTTGCGACGGCAATACGACAGAAGCGTGGCCCTCTGGCAACGGAAGCAGCTGCGACTCCGACAGAACATGATATTCGCGACTATCAAGGTGGTGAAAGGTTGGGACTTGCCGCAGTTCCTGGCGATGGGACAAGATCAGCGAACGGCCATTAGAAAGGCGTTGAACGAAGACGCGGATAAGTTGCTGTCTGAGGGAGACCCGGCGGATCCGCAGCTGCGACGGCTGAAGCGCGAAATGGCGGACGTGAACCGGCTGTTCGACGACTTCGAGAAGCGCGCCAGGGCGGAGGAGGAGTCGAAGAACGCCGGGCGTATCTTCAACGAGCAGGCGTCCACGCTGCAGCAGGCCCTCGACGAGGCCGAGAGGGTCCTGAACGCGCGCATAGCCGCGCCCTTGCCGCGCGACCTCGACAGTCTGGAGCACCTGGTGCTGCAGCACAAGGACTACGAGCAGAGCCTGCAGGGCCTGGCGCCGGAGATGGAGCAGATGCAGCAGACGTTCCGCGGCATCACTCTGAAGACGCCGGCGATGAGGAACAAGCTCGACAACATAACGTCCAAGTGGAACCACCTGTGGAACTTGAGCAGCCTGTACATCGAGCGGCTCAAGTGCGTCGAGATCGTGTTGTCCGGCCTCGAGGAGAACACCGCGGCCATCTCCGAGTTCGAGATCAAGCTGGCCTCCTTCGGCGAGCTGCCGTCGGACGTGAAGGGCCTGCAGATCGTGTTGGAGGACCTGATGGTTCTGCAGAACGCCATTGCGCAGCAGCAGGTATCGGTGGACCAGCTCAACGACGACGCGCACAACGCTAGGCGCCTGGTCGAGAAGTCACGACCGAATCACCGCGGCCCGCACGGCGACATGGACCGTTTGGACGCCGAGGTCAACAAACTGAACGCCCGATGGACGAACGTTTGCGGACAGCTCGTGGACAGACTGCGCAGCGCCGAGACGGCCTACGGATTGGCGCAGCAATACAGCACTTCGTATCAAAACGAGGTAGACTTCGTCGATGAGTCCTACAGCAAACTGGATCTGGAGAATACCAAGGTAACGGTGGGCAACGACGCTTTGCTCGTTTGCATTCAGGGTCGGCCGTTTACGCGTAAAATACGATAGTCTACGCTTAGACATATGCTGATAATATATCTCTCATCGAAGCCGTCGTATTTTCAATTTAATCATTTATCCCTTTCCTTCGCGTTGTGCTGTGTAATTTACAATATTTTACGCGGTTCGCATTATCTGCATAAGTAAAGGTCCGTGTATACATAGGCAATACGTAAGATTATCCATGTATAAGCGTGACTTGAAAATCTACGCCACAGCCCTGAAACACGTCTCTCATCGACCGAGATACTTCGGATTTCACGATCTTTGGTGGTTGCAGAACCTGCTGAGTAAGGTGCTGGACCGTGCGCCGGCGATCGAGGCGGTGAACATCACGGGCGGCAGGCTGATCCGCGAGGGGAAGGTAAGAGCGAGCGGATCGTTGTAGTCGATTTCGGTGCCAGTGAGCCTTCTAGGTAGCCTTATAGCTTACGGTGTGAATGCTTGCATGAATGGAAATTCTGCGTGTGTCTTACATACAACATACATATATACAGGTCGTTGTATTACTTGCGTCGTACGCGCGCCGCGTGCGCGCGGCTGTGCGATTTTTCCCCTCCCCCCGTTTAGTGTTCTCGTTTAGCGGAGCGTCGTCGAGAGAGCTTTTCTTCCTAGCCGGCGGGGAGGTGAGATCGAGCAAGGTGCGCAGGCGGAACATGGACGGTTCCTTCGGCCGGCCGAGCCCGCTGATTTTCCAACGTCTCTTCTCGGCGCGCACGGTGTGTCACGTGCGATTCTACCTGCGGCGTGTCTTCTATTTGCGTCCACTGCGGGCCCTGTGCCACCGTGGAACGGCGGCGCGTTTTAACTGCCATTCATTAAATATGCACACTTATGTAACACACGAGACACCAGACACTCCGATTCTAGGTGCGCGCGCGCGGCCAACTGTAATATCGCTGGACTTTCCCACCTCTTAATCACGGCAACCTCGTTAACTCTCATATTACATCAGAAAAGCACGGTTGAATGAGCTGCACGACCTTTAATCTAGCGGCCGATCTAGAGCCCCTCACTTTCCCCCCCCCCCCCNNNNCCCCTTTTTGTTTTCCTCTCTTTACGAATATATTAGCCGCGCATAAGCTGCTTTAGGCGCTTCTAGCGACACGATTGATAATACTTCTCCGACTTCTGGATTCACACGAGATAACCCAGTGAGGTATACAGCATGCGAAGCCGAAGGCGGAGGTGAAGCCTGACCGATTAATACGCAGGGAAGATTAACGCACGGCCGGAGATCTCATGTAACGGGTACAACTCTCGCATTAGGCAGCTCTCCCTCGTCCCCTGCTATCTCTCTCTCTCTCTCTCGATGGTAATTACTATGCCGCAACTACTGCAGCGCGATTGAATTGATCGCCGCTTACGTGCCCTTTGCGCGCGCGCCACCCCGGCGAGCCAAAATTATTCAAATCGGGTCACGCGTTGCGTGTTTACGTGTACGCACGCCTCGCGTAACCGGCGGCCACCTATTAACGCACCTCCATGTATTTACCGGAAGTACCACATTGGGTTGTCGAAGTTGCGAATCGCAGGCCGCGCGGTCGGCTCCGATCGCAACGGCCGCGTCTCTCGCTGTCGCTTTCGGAGGCTAATGGTAATTGGCACACGCACACACACAGCGATCTAATTGCACTAACCATAACGGACTAACCGGAACCCTTAGATCTATGGACAAAGGCTCAGAGCGTTCAAAGAACAATTGGAAGATATCTGCCCGTCGTTGGACGCGTCGGTGAAGAGGCCGCGAAGAGATTCCGTTATTACGGTCGATAATGTTGCGCGCGATCTAGATACGCTGAACCGGAGGTACACGACCTTAGTGGGCCTGCTCGAGGAACGGGTCAGGCAGCTGGCGTTGCTCCATCCTGAAGACACTTCTCTGCAGGTGAGTGCGATGCACACTTGCTTCTCACAATACGCTCCGAACCAGCTTTAATATGTTGTACAGTTTCTTCTTAGGAGGGACTGTGACTCCTCGTGATGTCGTTAGGAACTTGGGGGAAAGATGGATCCGTGCGTGCATCCCACGGAGTTGTTTGTTACACGGAAAAACAAACGAAAACACCCGGTTCTTGTAACTGAATAGAGAGATCAGACGAAGAATCGGTGACGAGAAACGGTGTTTCTGTTACAGCGACTGAGAACACTCGTGCGAATGTTCGGCTGCGTTAAAACTCGGTTGAGACGACCGAGAGCGATTCAACGAGTAGACACGTTCCAGGAATTTCCCGTTTCTACAACCGAGTTTCCATCCGATCCCCGGGTGATTCAATGACTATCGGTCTGTTCTTTTTAGCTGAACTGGCTGCACCAGTTCGAGAAATTTATGGACACTGATACATCAGAGTCTTTTACGTACGCTTTGTACGTTTCAATGTGTATGTACGGCAACGCTAACCCAGTTTAGTAACAACCGTAATTAGCGAGCTCTTACATTTGATTGGTACATTCTTTTAAATCTAAAAATATGTTCTAATTAAATGCAAGAGCCCACTAACTATGGTTGTTACCAAACTGGATTAACGTTTCCGCGCAAATGTAGTCAATTACATCAGCGGAATTGTTTTTTCCCATATAAAGATGTACGCGTTACGTCATGTATGCCTTATCATTCTCAGCATCGAGAATTACGCGATTTTCAACCTTATACATATATGCGTAAAGTCGAAACGCAGTATGCACAATTGGCGTCTGTTTTACCATTTCCTAGACAGGAAATTACATGATTTTTAGTCTCATACATAACTCATAAGGTTGAAAGTCACACAAATAACTCTAATTATAATGATAGGGCTATCATGATTTTAATTAGAACGGTTTTGATTTTGTGTGTATGTATTTAAGACTGAGCATTGTGTAATTTTCAATCTAGGATATGGAACCGCATACATGATGCCGACTGTGCATCGGGGAAAAACCTCAGTTCCTGCAAATGAATAGATAGATTATAAATAGCAAATAAATAAATAGGGATTAGACGGAACCTCGGTGACAAGAAATGAAAATTCGTTGACGAGAAACGATATCTCTGTCATCACGATTGAAAATATTTTTTTTCCGAACATTCAGCTGCATTGAAACTCGTTTGAGACAGCCGAGAACGATTAACCGAGTAGAAACCTCCCGCAGGAATGTTTTTGTTTCTACAAGACAGAGTCTTTATCTGGTCTCCAGTCGCCGGAAAATTCAGTTACGAATATTATCAACGGAATGGTTTTTTCCGTGTAGCAAAGATGCACACGGTATATGGAATTACCACGTTAATATTTTCGCCGCTACCATCGTGTATTTGAGAACTCGCGAACTGAAAGAGTTATAAGTCAGGATGGGCTGGCGGGTATTTCAGATTAGGTCTAACCTTTTCCGCGCCGTGGCGCGTGTCGGTCCGTGACCGGAATTAATCCCGAGAACCGAATTTCGACAAGGCCTGCAATTTGCATTGCTGATGGATAAACGTCGGAGCGATGATGATTCGCTCACTCGGCCCTCGATCGTAACACTTCGTCGCGCGATAACGAGTTAGAACTATTTCTAATCACGCGAGGATATTGCCGTGGCGAAGGTAATTTATTACGTCAAGCAAGGCTACGATACCGGATACCGATCTCGCATTGAATCACCTCGATTGCCGAATAGCGACGAAAAGAGACACGACGTTCAAATCGAGCAACACGCTCATTTATTCGCTGGTTATTCGATTAAGTATTCAGTCGTGGGCGGAGTGACTGTCCCATTTCTTTATAATAGTAGACATTTGAAATTTCGAACTTGGAATATCGTTTCTGAATATTCCCGCATCATGACTGCTGGATTGTATTGCTGAAAATGGCCCGAAGAATAGAGCTTGGGAATATTTATTTAATTTCGACATTATTAGACTCGCTACTTCTATTTATTATAATTTATTATAATTGCTGATTGTTCCGTGATCCGGCCAAGTACGTTCTAAAGCAGCAGTCGTGATGCACGAATATTCAAAAAAGATACCCCAAAAATGATGCGCCCAATTCGAAATTCCCGATATCGTTATACCCGGAGAGCAATCTTTTTGTCATACGATCGTATGATCGTTACGTTATACAAAATGCAGATATTTACGAATTTACGTTCGAACGGAATTATTTCGTCAGTGTCGGTGGAAAGAGACGTCCCGGGATTCGAGACGGACTGAAACTTGTCGACTTCGACGCAGTAGTGCGCGGCCGCGAATGACATAAGCTGAAATTAATGAGTCGAGTAGAGAGAGAGAGGAATGAATATGAACGGGCGGCTCTCATGAAAACCCGTGTGCCCACATCTTTCCACCAGGTATAATTATATTCCGAATGACGACGACATCAGAAATAGCAGCTATTTTTCTCCGTACTATTGCGCACCAGATCTCAAAGGGGGGAAGAAATCGTACCGAACGCGGCCGGAAGGAGGTGTGTTTTTTCCTTCTTTTTCTTTTAATTGCGACCGGTTCTCGCCCGTGCCTTGATGTCGAGTCGTGCTCTCTCTATCACGCTGGTCACGCCGGCTAAATACCTCAAGGCTACTTTGTCGTGAACGCGAAACGCCGACCTATGACACGCGACCGACTTTCACTCGATTAGCGGCCGGCTTTTCGTCTTTCCCGCTCTCGTGTCGGTCTCGCGCGCGGGATCGATAGGGCCGGCCCGACATGTCGGCGCAAACGAAAGGGCAGTGGCGCGTTTACACCTGTTGAGGCCCCCAGCGTGTCGCGGTTAATTATCAAATTTAATTATACATATATCGTGCACCAAAGCATACGGTTGTTCGAGTGAAAGGGACGTGGAAAAATGCGCACATTGGAGGAGAAAAGTACTATGTTCATGAAAATATTTGTTAGAGCATTGGAATCATTATTTTATTCGGATTGAATAAATTTTCGGCTCCTATTTAGCCGTTTGTTTTAGCGATTTATTCAGAGCAACTTTATTTTTTAATTTAAGTAAATTTTGCTTGAATGTAGCACTTTTTTTTCCTTTTCTGGTGGACGTACAACTAATTCTATCGATGCTGTCCCATTCCTTAGGTATAATAACATTAAACATTTCCAATTAGGCGCGTCATTTGTGAATATTTCCACATTATGATAGCTGTTTTTGAAAATCATTATCGATTCATTGAATTATCAACAATCATGATGCTCATTGATGCTTCTGATTGGAAATTTTCGATGTTACTCTGCCTAGGGAATGGGATAGCATTAATAGAGTCTGCTGTATATCAGATTCATGTATTCATCGCGTGTTCTCTCTTTTTTTTTTTTATTCTTTTTGTAGGCTCAGATTGACAATTCCGATTCACACGCTCAAGCACATTGTATTCATTGATGTGAAAAATAACATAGAAGAAGGATTACGTAACAGTTTTTTTTGCCGAGAGGAAGCGAGCATCTCCGGTCCATTCGGTCGCATCTCCGATGCCCGGCGCGCACATCATCCGACCGGCAGGAGAATTTCGCGATCCCTTTGATCCCGAAAATCAAACGGAAGCGTCACTTTATCACTTACGTCACGCGGGAATTAATAAATCTATCAAACTCGCCATTCCCCGCGAATCGAGGCGCGCGTGGCTTGCGTAACGCCGTAGAACAACCTTCGACACGCATGGAAGGCATCAAGGTCAATTTTTTTCCCCCCGAGCGGACGAACGCATTAATTTGCCAAAATCCTGAAGGCGCGTGTGTCCTAAGCGACGCGCGCCAAAGCGCCCACGTCTAAACGCGCTACTGAGACGCGTCGCGGCGCCGCCGCCGCCGCCGCGACCGCCGCCACTGCCACCTCCGCCACCGACACACCGTCGCTATTCGCATCTCCTGCCGATGCCGCGTCATCGAGAAAGACGAGCCGCCGCAGTGAGGGACCGTCGGTTGCGCCGCGATTCACTGTTCACCGAGTCGAACATGCTCGCCGGTCGCGCGACCGATTAAACCCGTCGACGTCGTCGTCGCGCTAGAAACGCGAAACCCAAGCGGCTCCGATGTGAGCGATCATGATCGTGCGAAAGGTACGAACGGCATACTGCGGATATATCGCGTGCTGCACGTTGCTCCGGGCCCGGTGACGCAGGTCTTGTCGCGCGAGTGAAATCGGACGTTTCGGACGTGTTAGTTGATTAATTAGCGACATTAGCCGTCACGAGAGGCGGACGATCGCGCTCGTCACCCCCCGTGAAACGCCCATTCAGGTGTCGAACGACTCGCGTCGGAGCGACACTCGTGAGAGAGAGCTGTCCCCGTTGACAGGGAGTGAGACGATCGGGGAAAACTACCGGCAGTGAACACTTCGAGTTTAATTTGTTATTCAGCAACTCGGCTTGATGTGCGCCTCTTATTCGTCGCTCGTAGAATGCCAAGGTCTCGGAGTCGCGGATGAACGTATGCCGAAACGGAGGGACACGACGCGCACGGAGAAGGATCCATTCAGAGGGACGGCAAATTCTAATGCTGTGTCTCGGCGAGGAAAAAAGTGTACAGGGTGTTTCTTAAGTACTGTCCAATATTTGATGAGCTGATATTCGTTTTATAAAGAGAAGTTCGCACGAGTAAATTTGCATTTCTTCGTGAAATGATCGCGAAAATCGACTCCTGAAGTATCGAACGGTACTTGAGGAACACCCTTTGTACTTATTATCCGGTAGGAGAGCTTTAGGATTCGCTGTCTCTCCCGAATGGTTCTTCTCCGTGCGTGGAATATTCTGCGCTCGTGGTTTTCAAGGAAAACGGCGTTTCCCCCGGCCCCGATATTTTTCCGAGGCTTGACGCATTACAGATTTATCGATCTCATTTTTCAACGTCTCTTATCTCGAGACAATATAGAGGGGATATCGCTCTTCAAGTCGCTCCGCGCGCGAATCTGTCGAACTTGTTTTCGGCGAAGGCTTAAAATCAATTTCTCACATGTGAATATCGTGCGACACTCGTCGCTAAACTTTCCGTGTGACTCAGTCGTCGCTGATTACTCTTATCGGTTCACCGTTGTGACGGTGCGACTCTGATTATGTCGATCCGGCGAGGTAAATTCTCTGTCGCACCGGTGGCTACTCACCGGTGCGCCTTATCGATAGAGCCGTCAGGAATCGATTTTTGCGACGGGGCTTTACGCTACGTCAGAATACAGACGTGTTAACGCCTTTGTACGTGACAAATTTTTATTAAATTTAGTTGTAACCGTAAGTCCGTAAAAAAACTGACCGATGACAAATTCTTCGACGGCAAGAAGAATAATCAAATGTAATCGATCAGTTTTCTTACGGATCTACGGTTACGACGAAAAATTTGCAATGTGCAAAGGCTTAGGGCTTTCGCGCGTGAATTGTCGTAATCATAAGACGTAAACTTAAACTGAGTAATCAATCAGGATATTGCTTTAGGTTTGTGTACTCTAGAAGTTGGAAATGACGGTGTAATTAGGATTTAGATCGAGTAACTAGAATTTCAACCAGTCGAATTCTAGTTATTTCTACTTACGATCAGATAGTCTGCTTCTTTCATCTGAATTGGCTGCATTAGTTAGAAATATACATGCACATTGAAGCATATGAAGCGTACGTATAAAATTCTTACGTTTCAGTGTACGTAAATTTCTTGAATTTAGTGCAGTCAGTTCAGCTTTAAAAAAAGGGCCAAAATTTACCGTCGAAAGTTCTATCTTCTAGAATATATAAATCTCTTAAATAACATCCTGATTGATTCTTCAGTCTAAATTTACGTCTTATGTTTATTTTTAAACCAATTTATGCGAAGAGCTTTTACTCGTCGCGATACATGTTGCATTGTCACCGTCCCAGGAGAGCTTCTCAACTTCCGTGTAGGAACGTGACCAGCCACGGCGGTTTCTTATTTTAACGCGTGCACGGACTGACCCAGAAGAAGAAGCCCCGGTCGATATACTCGAGCGACAATGTTTTTAAGATCGTGTATACACGGCTAAATCGCCAAACGCGCGTCACGTGTCTCGCATAATTTCAGCCACGACGGAATTGTCGGTCAACGAGATATGACCGCCGAAATATGTGCTGCGTGTACGTCGTCGCGAATGAGTTGAACGACTCATCGATCGCATGATGCATGCGCACGCATTACGCAACCGAAGCAAACAAAAAGATTGCATATTTCCTCGCTACCGTACGGCTAATCCTACAACAGACGATCGATACTGCCGGCCGAAGGTCAACATTAATCAGGTGCGACTCGTCCGATCGGCGGATTTACGACGCAGGTAACATCGGTCACGGATCTCCTCACGGACGTTATCGGTATTAATCACCGTCGTGGGTTTCGCGATTCGCGCGCGATCGTTTGTAATTCTCGCGCGCGCATCGATGAGATCGCGGGGGCATCGGCGTTCTGTCATTTTTTCGCGACGTCGGTGTTACCGCGCGAGCGAATTTCTTGAGGATATATTGCCCATAACTCAAAATGATAAAAGGAAAATCGCGAAGAAATAAATTGATCTACAATACGTCGCATTTAAAAGTGACACCAAAGGTTTGACGGTAATTCCGAGTCTGGATCAAAATTTATTGCGGTTTAAAGGAGATTGTAAGATGAAATACATTTGATAAGAATTCGGTGAAACCTTGCACTGCGTACATATTGAAATATTATCTAACTCGTTGTTCGTGTGCAATTGGGAAATTGACTATTCGAGAGCTAAGATATTTATAACTAAAGTCGGTACTTTTTATACGCGTTCAAATTAATATTTATTATTTAGATAATGAAGTAAATGCATAGGAACGTAATTTTGCTTGATAAATAAACGAATGATAGATAAATCGATAGATAAATTTACGAATGGCCTTCTTGATGCGCCATTGAAAATATGACACTAATGGGCAATGCATCCTTGAGGCTGCCGAACGTGAAAAACTTTTTAATCGTAAAGTAGTATGCAAATTTCCTAACTACACTCGGCTATTCTTCTTATAGTCCGAAAACAATTGAGCGTGCTTAGTCAATTTGCTCGCTACTTTACGGTTACGACTAAAATCTTTTCACGTGCAATAGCCTTTACGGGGACTCGGAGTCGTTTACGTGTCACCGCTCGAGTTTACAAATTGCCGACGGTGAAGAATGGAAGGTTAACACTGTCCCATATCCACGTGATGACATAAGCATCAAATGACGTAGCGTGTCCTGCTGCGGACACCTACGTCCTCGAGGCAAGGCCGCCATCGAGTCCGAAATTGCGCGTTTCGATGCCTGTTTCACGGCATTGGGTAATTAAAGGGGCTAGTTCTAGATACATCGGTTCGCGAGCGTGCAAACGAGTGAGAGGGAATTTTGCGTAAGAGTCGGTAACGTGCGTGCACGACGACGGTGCGTGGCTATATTTAAGAGTCCCGTCTCGGCTGAAAGATCTCGCGCGGCACGTGGTCCAATTATACGCCAGTCGTGTAAACTTATGCGCCGTCGTGGCTTGATTCATTTCAATCTACGCGAGAGGCTCGCGATTATATGCCGGACAATTATAGCGTGCGTCACGTGTAGACGTCAATCCGATTTAGGAATTAAAGATCGCCGTTGTCTGACCCAGATACACGCCGAGTTCCTAAGGACGACGGTGACATTTCGCGTTAGCTGTTAGTTTCGGCAAATAACAGCTTTCAGCGCGAGAAATACTTGACATTTATATCCGAAACTCGTGAGGAGTTGGTTACTGGAAATGGTTGTTGGTAATTCGCAGAGAAATAATCGCTAGTTCTGTCAGAATTTTTAATTTTACGTGATCTTTACGTTGGATAAAAATGGCTGCGTATTCACCAGAGAATTTGTGACCATATCGTGATTGTATGGCTGTCGGACACCCGTTGTATTAATGATTAAAATCGATTAAGTGGATCCTACATGGAAAATGATCGTGAAATCTATTAGAAGCTTTATCTTCCTGTGACCTTTTCGTTGGATAAAAAATACCTGCATATCGTATTGGTGTCGGACACTCGTATCGACGATTAAACTCGATTTGCATATTATTTAGAAAATGATCATTACGTCTATTAGAAGTTTTATCTTTCCGTGATTTTTTCATTGGGTAAAAAATGACTGCATGTCGTGACTATATTAATATCTTACACTCGTATTAACGATTGAATACGATTACTACATATCACCTGGCATTTGATTGTTAGATCTATTAGAAATTTTAATTTTCCGTGATCTTTTCAACGAATAAAAATGATTATACATTTATCAAAGAATCTGGGACTATATAGGTGTCGTATCGACGATTAAATGAAACTAACTACATATTACCTAGAACGCGACTGAATGCATCTGCTGCAAGCGGCGAAATGTCTACTTTCAGCGTGTTCTTCAAGAACAACGGCCACTGCGGACGTTCCGCACTGAGTTCAACATCTACGAGAGCACCACCAGCGAGGAGCGTTACACCTCCACAACCACACACTACACCCAGTCGCAGTGAGTATGCCTGAGACGCGTTTCCTTTCTTTTCACATTGTGAAAAATTAACGCGCGCTTGAGACAGCCGTACGCGCATATACGCGTGCGGCAAAATAAGCTGTACGATAAAAACAGGAACGCGACTCACGTCTCTCGACGGCCATTGCCGTAGATACACCTCCGAGCGACATGAGTCCACCGAGACGACATTCTCGAGCGAGACCTCGAAGCGAAGTTACAGCGGGGAGCAGGCGGCCGGCGGCGCGTATCGTCCAAACGGCGAGACGACGAGCCCCGCGAGCGCCGCTTCACCGGCCATCGGCACCGGGCCGAGCATCCTCAAGCGCTCGTACGACACCGAGACGACGAACAGCTCCTCCTCGAGCAGGAGGCAACAGCAGCAAGACTTCCCGTCCGCGGTGGTGGACGGCGGGTTTAGCAGTAGCGAGCTTAGAGATCTTAGGCGGGTACCGAGGGTGCCCGAGGACGGGGGCGGCGATGGTGCGGAGAACGTGATCGACGTTAGGGGTATCGTAGATCCGAGGAACGGCGAGATGTTGACCGTAGGCGAGGCGATCCGGCGGCGGATCCTCGACGTTAGGAACGGTAGGATAGTGGCGTCCAGCGACGACGGCAGGTCGTCGTCGAGCATGTCGATCGAGGAGGCGGCTCGCGCCGGTCTGGTCGACGCGGCGCTCGCCGATCGGCTGTTAGGTCCCTGCGGGGTGAACGACGAGGAGGGCGGCCGGCGGGTGCTGTCGCTTCTCGAGGCGATCCAGCGGGAGCTGTGCGACGCCGAGCGTGCCGACATCGCGGACCGAGTCAAGGTAACCACGACGACACGCCGTAACGACGAGCGTGCCGGTAGCACCGCCGACACCGCGGGGGTTAGCGTTGTCGATGCGATGAGGGAGGGCTTGTTGGACCCGGCGACCGGCGAGGTGGTCGTCGAGAACGGCGAGCGCATCTCGATCGAGGAGGCGTACACGCGCGGTTACCTTACCAAGGTAGACGTGACCGTCCGGGTGAGTCGTAACGCCGTCGCGCTGTCCGACGCGGTCGCGCAGGGTCTCGTGGACGACCGTTCCGGCCGGGTGACCGACCGCATCACCGGCGAGTCGTACCCGCTGGACGAGGCGGTCGACAGGGGCATCGTCGACGCGAGCGTCAAGGAGATCGTCGACACGCGCAACGACACCAAGCTCACCGTGACGGAGGCCCTGAGGTGCGGCATACTGAACGCCAAGAGCGGCCGGTACATGCACGGCTTGTCGCTGGAGAAGCTGCCGTTCAAGGAAGCGCGCCGTCGCCAGCTGATCGTCAAGCCGATGACGCTCAAGGACTGTTGCGACCTGGAGATCATCGACGACAAGGGCAGGATCGCCAGTCCGGCTCATCGCAGCAGGCTGACGATAGTCGAGGCCATATCCCGGGGAGTCTTGGACTCCGCCAACATCAGGTCCGTAGTCGACACTCGTACGGGCGAGATGGTCACGTTGGCCGATTCCTTGAACAGCGGCATCGTCAAGCAGCAAGGCACGTATCGCGACATGCGGAAGGACCTGGAGTATCCTATCCCCGAGGCCGTGGAGAAGGGCCTGATTACATCCGTGACCCAGAAAACCATCTTCGATATCGACGGATTCAAGGACCCGGTCTCCGGGGAGTACATCAGCCTGAACGCGGCTCTGCTGAAGGGCCTGATCAGCGCTAAGTCCGGCGGCACTTTCACCGTCGATCTGGCCACCGGCGAGACCGTGTCGCTGAGCGAGGCCGAGGAACGGGGATACATCAGGCCGGAGGTGTTGGAGATGCTGAGTCGCGGCATCGGTGTCACCGAGAACGGACGCGAGGTCAGCGTGTTGGAGGCCGTGCTGCTCGGGCTGCTCGACCCGAAGTCCGGTCAGCTGCTGGACCCGCGTAGCAAGAGGATAGTGCCGCTGGAGGAGGCCATCAAGCGCGGCCTCATCACGCCCGATGGCGCCGCCTTGCTCACCAGTCTGCTGAACATCGCCGTCACCACGCAGACCGTGACGAAGACCGTGAAGAAGTACGTGACGCTGATGGAGACCGGTGAGGTCAGCAGGGACTACAAGATCAGCTACGAGGAGGCTTTGAACAGCGGCTTCATCGACGAGAGCACGAGCGAGTTCCGAGATCCCGACACGGGCGCGACTATGAGCATCGAAGACGCCGTTGAGCGGAGCCTGCTCGGCGGCGACGTGCCTCGACACGTCGCGCACTCGTCACGCGCGACTTTCGAGAGCACTTTCGTGGCGGACGTCGGCGACGTGCTCGCCGACCGTAGAAGCGCATCACCGCCGAGGGCGATCGGAACGGTCACCACCATCATTACTAAAGAGATTACTCCGCGAGCGTCTTCTACGCCGACGAAGGAGTCCTCCGTCACGATGACGATTGCCCCGTCACCGAAGATCGCTCCGTCACCGACGATCGCTCCGTCACCGACGATCGCTCCGTCACCGACGATCGCCCCGTTATCGACGATCGTCCCGTCACCAACGATCGCCCCGTCACCAAAGATCGTCCTATCGCCAAAGATCGTCTCGTCGCCAAAGATCGTCCCGTCACCGACGATCGCCCCGTCAACGACGATCGCGCCGTCAACGACGATCGCCCCGTCAACGACGATCGTCCCGTCACCGACGATCGTCTCGTCAACGACGATCGCCCCGTCAACTACGATCGCTCCGTCACCGACGATCGCTCCGTCACCGACGATCGCTTCGTCACCGACGATCGTTCCGTCAACGACGATCGCTCCGTCAACGACGATCGCTCCGTCAACGACGATCGCTCCGTCACCGACGATCGCTCCGTCACCGACGATCGCTCCGTCACCGACGATCGCTCCGTCACCGACGATCGCTCCGTCACCGACGATCGCCCCGTTATCGACGATCGTCCCGTCACCAACGATCGCCCCGTCACCAAAGATCGTCCTATCGCCAAAGATCGTCTCGTCGCCAAAGATCGTCCCGTCACCGACGATCGCCCCGTCAACGACGATCGCGCCGTCAACGACGATCGCCCCGTCAACGACGATCGTCCCGTCACCGACGATCGTCTCGTCAACGACGATCGCCCCGTCAACTACGATCGCTCCGTCACCGACGATCGCTCCGTCACCGACGATCGCTTCGTCACCGACGATCGTTCCGTCAACGACGATCGCTCCGTCAACGACGATCGCTCCGTCAACGACGATCGCTCCGTCAACGACGATCGCTCCGTCACCGACGATCGCTCCGTCACCGACGATCGCTCCGTCACCGACGATCGCTCCGTCACCGACGATCGCTCCGTCACTGACGATCGTCCCGTCACCGGCGATCCCTTCATCCGCAAGGGATTCGACTGTATTCATTGACGCGAAGGACACGTCATCCACGAGAATCAGCGAGTCCACCAAATGGACGTCCGAGATCACGTCGAAGTCGAGCTCGTTCGAGGAGACGCACAAGGTGACTCGTGCTTCTAAATCTTCTGTATCCGATGAGAAGCCGATGGAAGACGAGAAGATTGTACCAGCTGAACCGGCCAGCCACATATCGGAAATCACGAGATTCGAGAAGGAACGCGCTTTCACCGACAAGAGAGTGTTCGAATTGCCTACGGACGGTTGGACGCTGTCCGAAGCTATCGATAGGAGACTCTTCGACCCCACCACAGGCCTCTTCATAATCCCTGGCACCGACAGATTGGTCTCCTTCGAGGAGTGCATCAAGCTTCAGATCATCAACCCGAATTCCGGATTCGTGATCGACCCTAACAACGGAAGGAAAGTATCCTTGGTACGCAGCCTGGAGAAGAACATCCTCGACTCGACGGGCCACTACAGTTTCCCGCAGAAGATCTCGATGAAGGAAGCGATCGCAGCCGGTTTGATTATGCTGGAAAGCGGGACAAGCCCGGACAGCGACAACACCAATCAACGACTCCTGCAGATTACCAGGGTGTCGGGCAAACCGGACATAGTGCAGCTGACGCGAGCCGACGATCCTTCGCAGCCGATGGAGATCAAGACGACCGACGAGATCTCGACGCCGGACCCCGTGCAGGTGACCCAGGGGGTGATCTACGACCCGGGGACCACTCTGGTGATCTCCACGAAGACCGGCAAGTCGATGAACCTCCTGACCGCCGTTTCCGAGGGCACGCTGTCACCCTCTGCCGTGGTCGTGAAGGATCCAACGACCGGGAAAGACATCGGCATGGCGGACGCCGTGAATCGCGGTATCCTCGACCTGAACACGCGCGAGTACAAGATCGACGACGGCCGGAAGATATCACTGCTGGACGCGACGAAGTTCGGAGTGGTGTCGGTCCTCGGCGGCCCGCTCGCCGCCGCAGCGGCCGCTGTGGAGGCCGTACAGAGAACGATGGTGAAAGACCCCGTGACCGGCAAGAAGATACCGAGAGAGGTCGCCATGGAGCGTGGCATCATCCCGAAGACAGACGTGAGCTCGCCAGTCGTCGAATTTGCACCTGGCCTACCTGACGAGCAAAATGAGGGAGCCGTTTCGCAGACTGCGGTGCAGGATGAACCCGAGGAGACGTCTCCGTCGAGAGAAGATGTGAAGAACGCGACATTCGGCGACTCGACGGCGTTCAGCAGCGACGCGCCGGACGGCGAGAGTCCGGGCACAAAGACGAGAGCGCGAGTGACGGTCGAGCCGAGGTACCAGGTGACGATCGGCAAGGCGAGGACCGTGTCGCAGAGTCCCGAGCGAGAGGCGAAGCCCATCGTCCTGCAGAAGATGCGGAAGAGAATAGTGAAGGTCGAGGAGGCGCTGCAGAGCGGCCTGATCGACGTGGAGACGGCGGACGCCTTCGCCAAGGAGATGTGCGACGAGAAGGGAGAGCCGATCACGCTCTCGGAGGCCATCCGCGACAATCGAATCGACGCCGGCCAAGGGCAGATCGTCGACCCTCAGCGGGGCGACGTGCTCAGCATCGAGCAGGCCATCGAGCGCGGAATCTTGGACCCGGAGAACGCGCACATACTGGTGCCGTTGGCGAAGAGCCTGTCAGTGCACAGCTTGTACCGGCAGGGCTTGTTGGAGCCGTCGGAAGGTAAAATCGTGCACCCGGAGACGGGAGCGCATCTCACCCTCAACGAGGCCATCGTGTGCGAGATAGTGGACCCCCTGTCGAATCTCATGTTCTCCGTGGACGGTCGTACGGAAACGCTGCAGTCCGCCATCGCGAACGACACTATCGACGCGGACAGGTCGCTGGTGAAGACCCAGTGCGGCAGTGTGAACTTGGTCAAGGCGATAGAGAACAAGGTGTTCCAGCTGAAGGAGCCAACAGGGTCCTCCGACATCCCGCCCGCCGGCATGACGTTCCCCGTTGCGCTGAAACGTGGCTTGATAGACACCAGCAAGAGAGAAGTGCGCCACCCGATCACCGGGGAACATCTACCGTTGGAGGACGCTATAAAAAAGGACTTCATCATGGCACTACCGTATCCGGTGGCTCCCGACAGCATCGAGATCACGAAGGCTCTGGAGTCGGGGCTGGTCGACCGGGACAACGCCGTATTCTTCCATCCTACCACGGGCACTCCCATTCCCATAGCCGAGGCCGTTGAATCCGGTCTGCTGATCATCAAGCCGCCGGCCGACGGCGGAAACGCGATAGCCGCCATCACCGAGACGATCACGTCGTACCACACCATCACGACCAAGACCGTCGAACTCTTGCCGGGCTACGCGCTAAAGAGCGCAATGGAGGTGCAGGATATCAACACCGGCGGTATCATCAGTATCGACGAGGCACGACGCAGAGGCATTATCAAGGACGAGTCGGAGAGCAAGCAGGAATTCACCACGAAGGACATCAAGATGTCCTTCGACCACGCAGTGGAGAAGGGATTCGTGGACATGGAGACTGGCACTTACACCGACCCCCGCACCGGCGCTACGATGCCCATCGCCAAGGCCGTCGAGGAGGGCATCCTCGACACCTCCTCCACCAAGAGCGAGTCGCCCAGGAAGTCGTCCAACGGCAGCATGACCGTGCTGGAGGCGGTCGAGCAGATCTACGACGAGAGGACGGGCACGTTCAAGGATCCCGAGACGAAGGAGTCTTACAACTTGACGGAAGCGATGAAGGTGGGTCTGATCGAGCCCGATTCCGTGCTCTATAACGTGAAGACCAAGGAGTCCGTCACCACGAAAGAGGCGGTGGAGAAGGGTCTGCTCGACCCTGACACCGGGAAGATGAGCACGATGCGCGATCAGAAGGATCGACCGATTAACATAGCGGAGGCCGCGAAACTGGGTCTCCTGGCGGTAGTCGCCGCGCCAGTACTCGCTGGGAAAACGGTGGTCGACGCGATCGCCGGTCATAAGTCCAAGGAGCCCAAGACGAGCGTACCCGCGATGGCGGAGCCATCCGTCGTTGCGAAGGAACCGAGCGGATCCACGGAGGTCTCCTCCACGCAGATCCGTGTCACCCAGAGGCCTCTTCGCGTTTCTCAGGAAGGCGAGAAACCGAGCATAGTGGAGAAGATGCGGGAACCAGCATCTTCAGCGACAGACACGGGAGCGACTGTCTCTCAGTCGCCTCTAAGAGAAGACGTACCCGTTTCCGTCGCTCGCAAAGACACACCAGCCAGCCAATTGCCTTCACCCGATAAGCAACGGGAACTCTTGGATGAGGTGGAGGCGAGCGACGACGATGGGATGAAGGATATCCCAGAAGAAGACGCTCCTAAACAAGTCTCAGTAGTCGTTACGAGGGACCTGTCGCCTCAGGTTCTCGCGGAGCTCGGCGTGTTCGATCCGGTGCGGGAGAAATTCCTGGACCCGGAGACGGGTATCGTCACCTCCTTCAACGACTTGGTGTTGAACCTCAGGGTCTTCGATCCCGACATGGTACTCGTCAAGGACCTGTCGTCGGATTCGTACGTGCGGCTGCGCGAGGCGATCGGCAGACCTCTCGTGGACCGCAACGTCGCTTATATGGTCGACCCGAAGACCGGCAAGAAGATACCGTTCTTCGAGGCGGTGCGTCTGGGATGGATCGTGCAGGAACCGGAAGACGACGCTCCGGAGGAGCGGTCTACGCAGGACTCGCTACCTTTGAGCCTGCAGGAGGCCATCGATGCTGGCATGTGCGACCCGATCACAGGGACGATTCTGGACCCCAACTCGGGAGAGGCTTTGACCATGAGCGAAGCTATCGACACGGGCGTCATCGACGCGGACGTGCTCGGCGTGAGGAATCCGATCACCGACGAAATCCTGCCGCTGTCCGAGGCCTTGGAGACCGGCGTCGTGGATCTCCGCAAAGGCGTCGTCGTCAATATAGAGACGAGGACGGAGATCGACATCACCGCCGCTTTCCTGCGAGGTCTGATCGTGCCTACTTCTCGCAAGCCGATCTCCCTGGAAGCCGTGATCAGGAGAGGCCTCTACGACGCCGACACGGGTAGAATACAGGATCCCTTGACGAAGCAGTCGATCGACGTCGAGGAGGGTGTTCGCAGAGGCGTCGTCGACGCCTTCATCACCGAAATCGAGGACACGAAGGCCGGATCGTCCGTTTCACTGGACGACGCATTGACGGTGAATCTGTTGAACCCTGACACGGGTCGCCTGCGCGACACGAAGGCGGGAGAGCTGTTACCTTTAGACGTGGCGCTTGACAGAGGTTTAATTATCACAACACCGTTCGTGCCTTCGCTGATCGACGCGATCATGCAAGAGTACTACTCGCCGAAGACCGGCCTCCTGTTGAATCCCATGACGGGCGAGGATCTGACGTTGAAGCAAGCGTTAGCCGTGGGTTACGTCAACGGCGCCACGACGGTAGTCAAGGACGATAGGAAGGATCAAGTGGTCCCCTTGGATGACGCGCAAGAGAGCAAATTGATTGATCCAGTGAGAGGGACGCTGACGTATCCGCATGCCATGTCGCTGGACGTCGCCTACGAGAAGGGATACATCTTGAGCACTGTGAAACCGTGGACGCTGCAGGAGGCTTTGGCACTTCAAGTTTACGACCCGAAATCCGGCACCTTCACCATCGACAGGAATAACTATACTCTAGAAGAGGCGATCGAGAGGGGCTTTATCAGCAAAGACGGCCCGTCGATCAAGGATCCGCGAAATAGCGACATAATATCGCTGGGCGACGCCATCAAGCACGGCTTCATCAACGCGAAGACCGGCACGGCCGTGGACCCGTGCACCAGCACGCCTCTCACGTTGACCGACGCGTTGGATCGTGGCTTCATAGTACCGGCGAAACGCAAGATATCGCTGCCGGAGGCCGTGTTCAAGGGCCTATACGACCCGAAAACCGGGCAGTTCACCGTGCCCGACACGCAGGAGAAGCTTCCTACCGATCGCGCGATCAAGATGGGCGTGATAGACGCCACGACCGCGATCGTGCGAGACCCTAATGGCGACGTGATGACGTTCAACAAGGCCATCAAGACGTCGATAGTCGACCCGAAAACCGGGACGGTCAGCCACGCGAGAGGACCTCCCGTGGACTTCCAGGAAGCGCTGGAGCGCGGCCTGCTGCTCGAAACCAGAAGACCGATGAGCTTCAGCGAGGCGATCTCGAAGGGTATTCTCGACGACAGAAGCAACAAGTTCCTGGACCCCCAAACAGGCACTTATTTAACTGTTCTAGAAGCCATTCAGAAGAATCTGATAGACGCCGACTCGGTCACCGTGAAGGACACGAGCTCCAACGTGTGGAAGACGATGACGCTGATGGAGGCGATACAGCTGGGTTACGTGGACGGCAACACCGGTTACCTCAAGGACCCCAACAAGGGCAGCAGGAACGTGTCACTGAGAGACGCCTTCGAATCCGGCCTGATCGTCGACAGTAGAGCCGCTGTGTCCTTGCAGCGCGCCATTCACCAAGGACTATACGACGACAACACCGGCAAGATCACCGACCCCAGCACGGGCAGGGCCGTGACGTTGCACGAGGCGATGCGGAAGTGCGTAATCAGCCCCACGTTACCGTGTTACTGGGACAAACGCGGCGAACGGCTGCTGTCGTTGGCCGAGACGTGCCGCGCCGGCGTGATAGACCGACGCAGCGGCATGTTCAAAGAACCCGGCGCCAGCTGCTCGGTCTCGTTGTCGGTCGCCTTGCAGCTCGGCCTGATCGTCGACATCGAGAGCATGGGCTTCGGTTTGTACGAGTCGATCCTGATGAGCATGTACGACGTCGGCACGGGTAAGTTCGTCCACCCGACCAGCAACCGGAAGCTGACGTTGGCCGAGGCGTGTCAGGTGGACCTGATCAATCCTCTGACGTCGATCGTCAAGTGCACCGGGTCGAACAGATACATGCCGCTGACGGAGGCGGTCACCGCCGGCATCGTCGATGACATCCGCGGCATGTACGTGATCCGCGAGCTCGACAAGACGATCGACCTGTTGGACGCCACGAGGAAGGGTTTCGTCGTCACGTCGAAGACACCGTTGTCGATCGAAGAGGCGGTGAGATGTCGCCTCTACCGCGGCGACAGCGGCAAGTTCGCGAACCCCGCCGCCAACGAGTACCACGACCTGCTTCAGGCGATCAACTGCGGCCTCATAGACCCCGACACCACCGCCTTGAAGGACGCGACCACCGGGCAGATCAAGTCGCTACCGGCTGGCATCGAGGACGGCACGGTCGACGTGCCTCGGGGCAGGATACTAGATCCCAAGACGACTCGCGCCTTCAACATCGACGTCGCGTTGGAGCGAGGCCTGCTGGTGACGATCGACAAGCCCTTGGCGCAACAGTCAGCCCAGAGGACGCCTCTGGAGGCCTCCAGGCCCGGCGACAGAAGCGTCCGGGAGTGCACGTTGGAGGAAGCGATCAACTACGAGCTGGTCGACCCGAACACGTCGGTCGTGCGAGACCCCAGAACCGGTCGATTCGTGACGACGGCGCGCGCGATAGCCGACGGCGTGGTGGAGCCCTCCGTCAGGGGCACGGTCGAGCTGATGAACGGCAACGGCAAGAAAGAGCCGCGTTTCGTGCGTTTCGGTGACGTCACCGTGTACGTCCGGGAACCCGTCGCCCTCGACGTCGCGATCGAGAAAGAGTATCTGTCCTTGGACTCGGGCAGGTTCACCGATCCGGTGACGGCCGAGCAATTGAGCCTGAAGGAGGCGGTCGGCCTCGGTATCGTGGACGCGGACTCGGCCTTGATCAAAGACTCGCAGAAGAGGAAGCTGGTGAAGTTGCCGGAGGCCTTCCGCAAGGGCATGATGGACGCGGAGAAGGGCAATGTGCTGGACACCGCCACGTCCAAGTTGTACAGCCTGTCGCGGGCGCTGCAGACCGGTCTGTTGATCACCCCGAAGAACGGCGTCTCGTTCATCGAGGCGCTGCAGTTCGGCCTCTACAATCCCACCACCGGCGGCTTTCACGACCCCTTCGTAGTCACTTCCGTGTTAGATCGCAGGCGCCTCACGCTGGCGGACGCGATCGACTCCGGCCTGATCGATCCGTCCACCACCGTGATCAGGGAGCCCTTCACGGGCGATATCGCGAGTCTCTTAGAGGCAGTGAGTAGCGGGAAGGTAGATCCCGTAGGTGGCAGGTTAGTCGAAGACACGGACGGCAAGAGTATCGACTTCGTCAAGGCCTTGGAGCGGGGTTATATACTCGCCGCAGAAGCCAGGGTAAGTAGGACCTCCAAACTCTGTCTTTTTGCGAAACTCGCGCGTCTCCCGCAACCAACCACCTGGACAGCTCTTCTTTGTCTTTCTCGTTCGTTTGAATTCTCTCTATTTTCCTTGTTTTTGGGTTTCTCTATCAGTTTCTCACCCGAGTTTACGTTGCTGCGCTGTTCTCCCCCCCACTCACGATATTCTCTCTAACAGCTTCCCGAAAGTTGGATGCGATTATCATATCATTTCACACATTCTGTCGAGCGAGTCGCCATCACGTTTATCTTGTCATGCGATTCTCTCTCGTCGTCATGAGCGTCATCTTGTTGCCTGATCTGACGTGAACCTTTTCTGCCTTCATCGATCGCGAGAAGAGACGTGGCTTGCCGAGATACACGGTCTCCGCATGGCCTCTAAATCTGAATCATTTTTTTTTTTTTTTTTTTTCGACTGGCATGGCATTTTTAATACGTTATTCCGTCCGAGGATCGAGAGATATGATACGCGTAATGTGCATGGGCAAGTGAAAGAATCGCTCTCTCGCTATGGTATATTGTCTCTTTCTCCTCCCGCCCCCCATCATCACTTCATCGAGTCGAATCACCCCCGTGCTTCCTTTTATCGGAATGCTCGCTTCCAACGGTTTGCCTGCCTCATCGTCAGACCGTCTTCTCATTGCCGCATCATCATGCTCGCTTTCGTGCTTTATATCTTCATTTAACGTGGGTTCAGTAAAGGTTCGAGCATCATCACGAAAAACGACACTAATCGGACGTAGCGTGTGTGCTCCCTCGAAGCGAGGGCGCGTCACCGTGACCGGCGGATCCGTCGGAAAAAAAACCCCAACATCGCATCATGTCTCCCCCCCCACCCACCACGCGGAATATCATTAATCCCGAGCCGTTTTGTCGCATCAACAACGCTAATCCCCCCCCCTTCTTTTAATAAATTAAGTAGCATTAATCTATAATTTTATTATTAATCTATAATTTTTTTCGATAACTCGCTTACGTTGTTTTCACCACGATGATACTTCTCGTCGTCTTTGTGTGATCGCTCAGTGTAATCTGAAAGTTGCATTTGTGTGACATGTCTCTCGCGGGGGAAGCCTCAGAAAAAGTGTAATAATCACTCGGTAAGCGGATCACGTACGTCGGATCAGTTACGATTGGATCCCAATCGAGAGAGAGAGAGAGAGAGAGAGAGAAACATTTACTCGCTGAGCATACTAATAGCGTAACCAAGACATGCATGTGCAAGAGAAAGAGGACTCGCAAATTGGCACTTTTTCCACTTTGTCATTTCCAAATTAACACACCCGCTCGAGAGAAAGAGAAAAGAAAGGGTCGAACGTTAAATGAAAGAATATGCAGGCATAATTTGTTTGATCGCCTTTCATTGTTGTCTACAACGTGTTTGTTATTATCAGGAATGAAAGTGACAGACGATCTATGGCGAATGAATATTAGATGCATTGTTGAACAGAGATGAGAATATGACGAATTACGATCAAATTGCAACGGAAGATAATAAAGCATCGGTGCGTAATGGGAACGATCGACCGATACCACGGTCGGCGGATCATTTTTGTCGTGCTGAAAACGTGAGACACTTGACGGTATAATCGAGATGCAGTAATTTATAATATTTACTAATGCCACTAAATGGAGAGAGATAACACGCAGATTTCGTGATATATTCCGACAATTAAACAGAGCTATTTTCTGTAACGAATAAATTGTACAAGGGAGGATTAAATTGTTAGAAATGAGCGGTCGGTTGGCTTTGCTCGCCAATCCTCGAGAGATTCTCTTACGACTAACACGTCGTAATCAAATTAACAAAGATGTGTAATATCTCTTATCTTATCTTACCTCTGACGAATTTACATTGTTAATCACAATGCGTTCTTAATCCAACTAGTTTTTAATATTTGTGTCTGTTCAGAGTTATGATAATTATTATACATTTAAATGTTTTCCTTTTTTTTTTTCAGGTATGATTATGTTTACTTATCACGAACCTATGTTTTCGCTAGCATGAGTTAGCCGGAGTTTCTCCACGTTGTACATTACCGTATCATTACATTATTACGCATTATTATATTATACAGTACCATTCACACACGTTGTTACCACACGTCATTGTGCGTTTTAATTTATTTGCTTCTCGGAACGTGTTTTTATTATGCAAAACCACGTGACTCCATACTGTTATCGTTTGCGCTTCAAACTGCATATGAAAAAAGCCGATACGGGAGATATGCAGTTCCTGCAGATAAATTAAAGCTACCATTTAATACTGTATTTACCTGTACGTTAAAAGGTGTGCCTGTGTTTGCATGCGTGAGATATGTCGTAAGCTTTATACCTACGTTTCTTTTAATTCTCGTTGAATAATGCGACTGCTGTCGTCATTGGTAAGATGACGATGTTTCTAAGTTCTTTTTTTTTTTTTCTTGGCACGTTAGCTTCTAAACGCATGTGACGCGCACGAGCGAATTCAAACGTATGGTTTCCCTTCGACTTCGTTTTAGCAAGCGGTGGAGGAGAAGTATAAGCTGTGCGACGAGACGTTGTCCAAGCTCCTCCAATGGATTTCCGTGGTCGAGGACAAGCTGGCGAATCAAGACACCGTCAAAGAAGACGTCGAAGAACTGAGGAAGCAGATACTTGTCATGAAAGTGAGCACAGACCGATCATACGTTTGCGAATGGGTTCGCTCGAAGGTTCACTTGTGTGATTAAATGCGAAACGCATGTGAATTGTAGGAGATAAAGGAGGACCTCGAAACACACAATCGGCCCGTCTCATCCTGCTTAGATCAGATCCGGCAGGTCGTACTTACCGGCAGCAACGTGTTGTCCAGCGACGAAGTGTCCACGTTGGAGAAGAATGGCCGATCTCTGAAGACTCGTTTCGACAAGGCGCTAGACCGCGCTGACAAATTGGTGAAACGCCTCACCGGCGCCAGAGACGAGCTAACGAAATTCAAGTAAGCACCCTGCTCGTGTAATACGTCGAGTAATAATAATAATAATTTCTTCCCGAACATCTGGACAAATGAATAAATGAATATCTATATCCGAATCATTCTGGATCAATATTGCAAGTTGCCTTTGCAAATCTTAATAGTGAACATTACTTTTGCAAATTTTTGCCAATTTTATTCCATTACAGAATCCGCGCAGAGGCTCTCATCAAGCCCTTCCTCCCTTGTCTGATAGCACACATTTTCCGTGCTTAATCGTTTGAATTTTCCTTTTTCGCAGGAATGAGCTCACGACCTTCTCGATCTGGTTGGAGAAAGCCCGAAGTGTACTCGAGGACAAGGAACGTTCTTTGTCCGACCTGAACAAACTGAGCAGCAGCACCGACACCACTCGCGACTTCATCAGCGACGTGATCGCTCATCAGGCGGATCTGAGATTCATCACGATGGCGGCGCAGAAATTCGTCGACGAGAGCAAAGAATATCTTCAGGTTCTCAATGACTTCAGAACCAGCCTGCCGCAGAGACTGCCGCACAAGGAACCCACAGCCAGCCAAGACTCGCCGGTGCGAGCCGAGGTGTCCACCGCGACGGCGCAGTACAAAGATCTGCTGTCTCGAGCGAATCTCCTGTCGGATAGGCTGTCAGGAGTCGGCGGCAAACAAAGGGATTACCACGATTCCTTGGAAAAAGTTCGAGCATGGCTGAGAGACGTCGAGCCCAAGGTCCACAGAGTCATCTCCGAGCCGGTGGCCGCCGAACCGAAGCAAGTGGAGGACCAACTGAGCAAAGCCAAGGCGTTGAACAACGAGTTCCTCGCCAATGAACGCTTGGTCGACAACGCTAAACACAGCGTCGAGGCTTTGTTGCACTCCTTGGAGGGCCAGCTGACTATCAACGAAGCTAGGAACCTCGAGGAACCGGTAAAGGCGTTGGAAGATAAGTACAAGCAGCTCAGCAATGCCTTGGCTGAGAAGTGTCAAGAACTCGACACGGCCTTGGTGAGAAGCCAAGGTGTGCAAGATGCATTGGACGGCCTGGTTGCATGGCTGAACAACGTTGAGAGTCAATTCAAGTGAGTTATTCGAGTCTTCATACGATGCGAATCCCGCATATTAAATTAGCGCTACCGTCCAGTAACTTAAGCCACTATTTGTCACTGTTTCTTGTCAAGTTACTAGAAAATTCACTATCGTCCAAAAGCTGCATACGAAAGCGTAGTTGTATCGTCCGTTCCGTGAGTCTTGTTACGGTGGTAGCGTTGTTATATTTCAAGTGTTCAAGGAGGATTTCATTAATTCGCGAATCGTATCGCACAGGTCACTGCAACGCCCAGCAAGTTTACAGAAGGATCGGCTGGAGGAGCAGCAGAGGGAACAGCGATTGCTGCAGGCGGACCTGGACAGTCATCGTTTGAGCGTCGAGACCATCACGGCGAACGCCCAGGACCTCCTTCTGAACTCGAGCAACGTTCGCATCGCCAAGCGCATCGAGAGCAAGCTGAAAGACGTGCAGAGCAGATTCGAGAAACTGATGGACAAGTCCTTGAGGCGCGGCGAATTCCTCGACGAGATAGCCCAAACTCTGAACGAATTCCTCGCTGACGTGTCCAGATTCGAGAGCTGGTACGCTCACATGATGGAGGTGCTCGACTCGAGAGACCTGAGCAAGTTCGACGTGTCGGAGTACGAGAGTAAGATGGCTCAATTGATAGACACGCGCGAAGACCAACGCGGCAACTTCGAGGATCTCGTGCGTAACGGCAAGAACCTGATCGCCAAGAAGGACATCACCGAGGCCGGCGCGATCCGGGACAAGATCAAGGCGCTCGAGTCTCAGTGGAAGGAACTGAACAACCTCCTTGACGAGAAGCAACGCTTGTGCAAGTCGCGGGCGGAACAGCACACGGCGTACGAGAAGCTGCGGGACCAGGTGCTCGATTGGCTCACCCGCACGGAGAACAAGGTGCAGGGCCTCGAGCCGGTCGCCGTAGACCTGGACAAGCTGAAGATGCAGCAGGAGGAGCTGAAGCCCGTACAGAAGGAGTATCGCGATTACGGCAACACGGTCGATAAGATTAATGACCTCGGCATCGCCTACGACAGCTTGATGAAGGAGCGCGGCGAGAGCCCGACGCGTCGTCGCGGTAGCACCAGCCCGACCAAGAGACCAGGTATCGCTGCACTTGCTGATCTTGTTGTACAGTACGGTGCTCGAAAGATCGTTCGACGTTAGTCGCAAGTTGATCGCAAACAGATTGCAACGCTTGTCGCTTGACGACCAGTCAGAAGCGTCAATGGTATTATTGACGGTTATATCTGCTTGCGATTGACTTGCGATTGACGCAGAACGACTTTTAATGAAGTCCTTTTTGAAATTTCGAAGCGTGTAGAAAGGTATGGGCCGTGCGTACTCCACGCGTGTCTCTCCAAGGAACCGAGTCTGTAAACCGAGCGTGGGAGATGTACACTTCTCTACACTTCTCTATACTTGAAAAGGACCCCATTAATACGGCCCTCTGTACAGAATGTCCTGAATATCCTCTGCAATCCAATTGCCGCTGCCTTGGATTGATTTGCATCGGCAAATCGTTACGAGTATTCATATGTGTCCTTTCACGTTGCATCTTTTTCAGCACACGACCACCTCTCATTGCCATTTACGTTGCATTTGACCGGTTTTTTTCTGTCATTTTTTTTGTAGTACTGCGAATGTCACAAGACGGTCGCTCGCCGTCACCCACTAAATCCTACGCAGTTCAAAGTCCGGTCTCCCCAGGTGGTAGCAGCGGATTCAGCAGTCGGCGTTCGAGCCAAGATGGCTTCCACCTGGAAGATCTGTCGCCGGTTCAACAGCAGCTCTCGGAAATCAATCACAGATACGGACTGCTTGGCGTGAGATTGACCGATCGCCAAACGGAATTAGACAATGTCAGGGACGAACTGAAGAGACACTTGGAACATTTGAAAATACTTTCTCAATTCTTGGACAAGGTACTTGTGTCTCCTCTCTCCTTTCCTCCGAGTAATAATCTTGATTATTATCTGCGAGTATATGGTGTAAGTAAATATTTTCACGCCAGATACAGCGGCAATTGCCCAAGGAGAGTATGCCGGCCACCAAAGACGACGCGGACAAAACGGTGAAGCAAGTGAAAGTTCTCGTCGAGGAGATGTACGAGAAGCAGTCCCTGTTGGACAGTACCCGGACGCAGGTGCGCGATCTGGCCAGGCGCAAGAAAGGGGCGGACGGTGTCGACAGGCTGAACGACGAAATGGAGGACGTCGCCAGCCGATGGAGATCGATATCGGACAGATGCAAGGACAGAATCAAGTTCCTGGAGGACATCAAGGACTTCTACGATACTTACGAGGGTCTCAATTCCTGGCTCGGCGCTAAGGAACGCATGCTGGGCGCTCTGGGGCCCATCTCGTCCGATCCCCGCATGGTCGCCAGCCAGGTGCAGCAAGTGCAGGTCTTACGAGAGGAATTCAGAACGCAGCAGCCGCAGCTTGATCACCTGGTGCAGGTCGGGGAGAGCATCCTCGTCACGATAACCGTCGATTCTCCGGACGGGCAGAAGATCAACGCGAAATTGCAGAGCATCTTGCAGAGATGGGCGGATCAAGTCGGCAGACTGGACGAGAGAGCGCAGAGTTTGGGAGACGCCGTTGACACCAGTCGCGAATTCGACGCCAGCCTCAACCGGTTGCGGGACGCTCTGCAGGGCATTTCGGATAACCTGGACGAGTTGACCCTCGAGAAGGATCCTGAGGAACAACTGCGCAAGATCGAGAATCTTGAGAGGCAGTTGGAGGGACAGAGACCACTGCTGGCGGACGCGGAGATGGCCGGCATGCAACTGTGTGAAATTCTGAGCGACCCGGCATCGAGATCCGAGATTCAAGGGAAGCTCGCCGTGTTGGGCAAGCTGTACAACAACCTGCAGAAGAAGTTGGACCATAGAAAGGCCGAAATCGAAGGTAATCTCCGCGACGGCAGGCAATTCGAGGCTTCCTGCAGTCGGACTCTCGGATGGCTTGCGGATGAGCTCGGCAACATGTCTGAGAAACTATTGGTGTCCGCTGACAGAGAAATCTTGCAGCAACAACTCGATCATCACGAGGTACGTGCGGACATTTCAACAATTTTCGATACTTTTTCTTCTTTTGTATTTACGTGTGACGTGTTATTTTCAGCCGGTGTATCGAAACGTGATGGGTAAAGAGCACGAGGTCATCATGCTGCTGAATAAAGGGCGCGATATTCTCGCACGATCGCAGAAGGCCGAGAATCGTTCTCTGCAACGCGACCTGGACAAGATGCAATCGCAGTGGGACCGTTTGAAGAAGGACACCGTCGAGAGACACACCAGATTACAGACCTGCGCGGAACACTGCAAGAAATACTACAAAGCTCAAGACGTGTTCCTCCCGTGGCTTCGACAGGCCGAAGACAAGCTGGACAGCTTGATCCCGACCTCATTCAGACGCAAGGACATCGAGAAGCAGCTGAAAGAATTGTCGTCGTTCAGGAACGAGGTGTGGAAGCATTCCGGGGAATTTGAGAATAACAAGACGCTCGGCGAGACGTTCGTCGGAGCTTGCGACATCGACAAACAGAACGTGAAGAACGAGCTTGGCGCCATGAAGACCAGATGGGATAAGTTAAACAACGGTAATGGTTAATTGTTCGATATTTGATCAAAGGCTTTATATTGTATAATATAATGATTTTTAAGTTTTATAAAAATGTATATTTTCTTTTATATTTTATACCATATATTTCGTATACGGGATAAGCTGTTATCATTATAAGAATTTCACCTTCGTATGATTTGGAGCATCTTTCCATGGGAGAAGGTATCAGATGACAAAGATGCAGCTCCTTCAAAATTACCTTCGTCTAGAAACTTTTCAAAAATCATCCTGTATATACAAGATTCTTCATACTTTAGAAAATATTTTGATATTTTTTCTATACGATATTTCTCTACGATAATTCATATATCATAATTAAATTGATTTTTTCCAGACCTGATATCTAGAACGCAGTCTCTGGAGGATACCGCGCGTCACTTGATGGATTTCAACGAGAACTTGCGCGATTTGCAGCACGGTTTGCAGCGCTGCGAAGACAAGTTAGCTTCGCACGACGCTCTTGGTGGCGCGGCTAAGGACCCGAAGCTTCTCGACAGAATAAAGGTAATTGATTTGTAACGTTTCCCCTCGTCTCGAAACGAGCGTCAAACGTTCCCTCGTCGGGACGACACAGTCGATACGCAAGATACGGGAATAATTTCGCAATTTGCAGAATTTGCGAGAAGAAACAACGAGCTTGAAGAAACCCTTGCAGTGCGTGAGGCAGCAGGCGAACGATCTCGTGAACAAAGCCAGCGAGCAAGGCGTCGACGCGTCGCACTTGCAAGACGAGATCGACAACGTCACGGATCGCATCAACGACCTGCAAGCGAAACTGGACGACCGATGCAACGAGTTGCAGAGCGCGGCGACAGCCGTCGCGCAGTTCAACGATCAGGCGAAGCTGATCAGTCAACATCTGTCCGCTCTGGAGAAAGATCTGGACTCGATGAAGGCACCCGGCAGAGAAATCAAGATCGTGCGCGGCCAATTGGAGGACATCGCGAAAATCGTCGGCAAAATCAGCAAACTCTACGAGGAGATTGGCGATTTGGAGAGTCGCGGCGAACGTTTGGTCGATTACGGTTTCGCCGCTGACGCTGTAGCCACCAGGGATCAGATTAAAGGATTCAAACGGCAGATCGGCAGGCTGGACGAGCGTGCGCGTGCTCGAGAGGACGAGCTCACCGCCACCTTGAACAAGCTGCAAGAGTTTTATCAGTCGCACGCGGACGTTATGGAGGGTATCGCCGACGCGAACGAGCAGGTCAGGAGATTCAAGCCTGTCGGATCCGAGGTGGACTCGATTAAGGCTCAGCAGGAGGACTTCAGGGCTCTCAAGGTGAAGAAGATCGAGCCGCTGGCGCACGCCGTTGACGAGTGCAACGTGCTCGGTCAAGGTCTCATACAGACCGCGGGGCGAGACGTCAACACCAGTAATATCGAGAAGGATGTCGACAAAATGAACGAGAGGTGGAACGATCTGAAGGAAAGAGTGAGTATTCGATTCATAGTTGAGTGTTAACTCTCTAGATTCAGTTTTCAATCAACCATTGTCATCTAGATAAGTGCATGGAAACATGATTTTGCTCAGCAAATACTGAATTTACGAGCGGCCCCCCTCCTTGATACTCACAAAGCAATCGACGAGACCAACATCATTTTGTCATTGTCCTGATGCCAATTATCCGCTTTCCAGTTGAACGAGCGAGATCGCAAACTGGACGTCGGATTGCTGCAGTCGGGCAAGTTCCAAGAGGCCCTGGACGGTCTAGAGAAGTGGCTGACCGACACGGAGGAGATGGTCTCGAATCAGAAACCGCCGTCCTCGGACTACAAGGTCGTGAAGGCGCAGCTGCAGGAGCAGAAGTTCCTGAAGAAGATGCTGATGGACCGTCAGAACTCCATGTCGTCCCTCTACACCATGGGACAAGAGGTGGCTGCGGACGCGGACCCGAAGGAACGCAAGGCCATCGAGAAGCAGTTGAACAATCTGGTGGGCAGGTTCGACAATCTGACGGAGAGCGCCGCGGAGAGGATGGACGCGCTCGAGCAGGCGATGGCGGTGGCGAAGCAGTTCCAGGATAAGCTGGTGCCGCTCGCGATCTGGCTGGACAAGACCGAGAAGAGGGTGAGGGACATGGAGCTGGTGCCGACCGACGAGGAGAAGATCCAGCAGCGTGTCAGCGAGCACGACATGCTCCACGAGGACATCATATCGAAGACGCCGGACTTCAGCGAGCTCACGGAGATAGCCAGCCAACTGATGTCGCTCGTCGGCGAGGACGAAGCCGCCGCGTTGGCCGACAAGCTCCAGGACGCGGCGGACAGATACGCCGCCTTGGTCGAGCGCTCGGAGGCCCTCGGCAGCCTGCTGCAACGCTCGAGGCAGGGCCTGCGCCACCTGGTGCTCACGTACCAAGACTTGCAAGCGTGGATGGAGAGCATGGAGATCCGGCTGTCCAAGTACCGCATCTTGGCGGTGCACACGGAGAAGCTTCTGCAGCAGATGGAGGACCTCGCGGACCTCACCGAGGAGGTCTCCACGCGGCAGACGGAGGTCGACAGCACCGTGGACTCCGGGCTGGAGCTGATGAAGCACATCTCGAGCGACGAGGCGCTCCAGCTGAAGGACAAGCTGGACTCGCTGCAGCGACGATTCAACGACCTGGTCACGCGCGGCTCGGATCTGCTCAAGCACGCCCAGGAGTCCCTGCCGTTGGTGCAGCAGTTCCACGAGAATCACAACCGACTGATGGACTGGATGCAGGGGGCGGAGTCCGCTCTCCAGTCCGCCGAGCCGCGCGAGGAGGAAATCATCCGGCTGGAGATGGAGATATCCGAGTACAGGCCCGTCTTGGACAAGATCAACGCGGTGGGCCCGCAGCTGTGCCAGATGTCGCCGGGCGAAGGCGCCGCGACCATCGAAGGCCTCGTCACCAGGGACAACAGGCGGTTCGACGCGATCGCCGAGCAGATTCAGAGGAAGGCCGAGAGGATTCAGCTGAGCAAGCAGCGCTCCTTGGAGGTGATCGGCGACATCGACGACCTGCTCGACTGGTTCCGCGAGGTCGACAATCAGCTGCGAGAGGCCGAGCCGCCCAGCAGCGAGCCCGAGATCATCAGGGTGCAGCTGAAGGAACACAAGGCGCTCAACGACGACATATCCAGCCAGAAGGGCCGTGTCCGAGACGTCATCTCGACCGCGAAGAAGGTCATCCGCGAGAGCACTCAGCACGAAGACACGTCGACGATCAGAGACAAGATGGAGGATCTTCGCGAAACGATGGAGATAGTCTCAGGTCTCTCGACGGACCGACTGGGAGCCCTGGAGCAAGCGCTACCGTTGGCAGAGCATCTTCGCGACACCCACGCCGGCCTGGTCAGCTGGCTCGAGGAGGCTGAGCAGCAGGTCGCCATGTTGCCCATGCCGGCGTTGCGACCCGACCTGATAGCGGTGCAACAGGACAAGAACGAGCTGCTCATTCAGAGCATCAACGAGCACAAGCCTCTGGTGGAGAAGCTGAACAAGACTGGCGAGGCTCTCATCAAGTTGTGCAACGAGGAGGAGGGTATGAAGGTGCAGGACATTCTGGAGAACGACAACGCTCGCTACACCGCGCTGAGAGCCGAGCTCCGCGCCCGGCAGCAGACGCTGGAGCAAGCGCTGCAGGAGTCCTCGCAGTTCTCGGACAAGCTCGAGGGTATGTTGCGCGCGTTGTCCTCCACCGCCGACCAGGTGAACGGCGCCGAGCCCGTCAGCGCCCACCCGACGCGACTGCGTGACCAGATGGAGGAGAACGCGGCGTTGGCGGACGACTTGGCGCAGAGGTCCGAGGCGTACGCGGCCGTGAAGAAGGCCGCCGACGACGTGATCAGCAAGGCCGGCAACCGGGCGGACCCGGCGGTGAAGGACATCAAGCGCAAGCTGGACAAGCTCAACAAGTTATGGGGCGATGTGCAGAAGGCCACTACCGACCGCGGGCACACCCTGGACGACACGCTGATCGTCGCGGAGAAGTTCTGGGCCGAGCTGAACGGCGTGATGGCCACCCTGAGGGAGCTGCAGGACGCCCTCGCCGGGCAAGCGCCGCCGGCGGCACAGCCGGCCGCCATCCAACAGCAACAGGTGGCCCTGCAGGAGATCAGGCAAGAGATCGACCAGACCAAGCCGGACGTCGAGCAGGTCCGAGCGTCCGGGCACGAATTGATGGGCCTGTGCGGCGAGCCGGACAAACCGGAGGTGCGGAAGCACATCGAGGACTTGGATCAGGCCTGGGACAACGTGACCGCGCTGTACGCCAGGCGCGAGGAGAATCTCATCGACGCCATGGAGAAGGCGATGGAGTTCCACGAGACGTTGCAGAACCTGCTGGAGTTCCTGCAGGAGGCCGAGGACCGGTTCGCAGACATGGGCCCGCTCGGCAGCGACATCGACGAGGTGAAGAAGCAGATCAAGCAGTTGGCCAACTTCAAAGCCGAAGTGGATCCGCACATGGTGAAAGTCGAGGCGCTCAACAGGTGACGACTTAGCTCCTAGGTCACTGGTTTACGTTAGATTTCTGTGATGGCGTTGACAAAGAGTTCAGTGCCCAGCAGCATTGTCCCCTTTGTGCGAGTCTCCCAGCTGTGAATAGTTATTGTTTTTCTTTCTGGTATTTATATATATATATATGTGGGTATCAATGTGAGACTGTATACGTGTGAGACCTCTCTGAGAAGACGTAATTTCTAATCCCAACTTTTGTTTTTTCCGCGCCGGTTCCCGAAACATAGGAGTCTGACAAGGCAAGTCAATCTCTCTCTGTGTGTTGTCGCTGTAGTTAGAGCATGGCTTCATTGTTGTTGTCCTGGACGTGTCTCCATTTCTCTCACCGCCCCGTTTTAGTTTAATAATCATCATCTGTTATCGGCAGTCTTAACAATTTAAGTTTACGTAAATATATTTAATAGAGATGTGCGAATCGAGGATTTTTCATGTCGGATTGAATCTCATTTCTTATTTTCGAATCCGAATCGAATCGTTGAAATGTAACTTTTTTTAATTAACAACACGATCATTGAATTCAACGTGAAGATAATGAGGGGTGACTTCGGTATGAGAGGGATAACATCGATCTCGTGACATCAACTCATTTTAAAGTAGATATGTATATTTAAATATTTAAAATAAAATTTCTACTAATGAAATATATTTTACTTGGGGTGACAATAATTAATATTTACATCTGATTAAAATTATCACCGATGCCAGCGCTTTTCAATTATTCACCGATCCATGTGATATAAAAATTTATTTAAACACACAAATTTTAATGGTATCTTTCTTACCGATATCTTGAGTTACTGCTTTTGATCTTTTTTAAAAGAATCTTACCCGAACAGCACAAATTGGTTGGCAAAACCGTTGTCTAACGTTGGCCAAGCGTTGAGCAATGATTACCCAACCAATTTGTGCTGCTCGGGTAACGTACAGCGAATTTTTCAAGTCGTGCCAATTCCCGCAAGACTGGACGTTTTTATAATATTCCCTCAATTTTAATATGCACGATTCGTATTCGGAGTCTTCTCGATTCGAAATTTTCGAATTATTCCGATTTGAATCATAGGGATTCGAATCGAATCAGATGAGATTCGTCTCGAATAGTTCGCACATCTATAATCGAGTCCTCCTCCGTCCCCTTACCCTACCCCCCACCCCCATGTTGTATCTTGAGGTAAAGTAAAAACGCTCGGCCGCATGTCGGTGGATCGAGTGACCCAAGCGCGACGATTCCGCGTAGACACAACTTGTTCGTAATCTATAATTTCTTCTCGACAGAACAAATAACGTGGCAGCGGCAGTGATTAATGTGCAGTTGGTATTAATTCCTCTGGTAGCTAAACATTCGTTGAGATTTTTCTGCCTGTATCCTCCCTGTAGATGTGGTGCTCGATGTTGTGTGGTCCGAATATACGTAACGACATACGTGTGACTAGCTGAGCTACTAAGGCTCCCGTAATTTTTTCACCGCAGCCGTCTTGTTTTATGATGTCAAAAGCGAGAAAATATATGCCCGAGAAATTCTTGCGATATATGTTGAAATAAAACGATACATCCATAATGTGCAAAGATAAAGTGAACCATTACGCATAATGGTGTCAGAATAATGGATGATTCGATCCAATTTTCGGCTCGAAGTTAGCGTGAAATTCAAATACATTTATCGATGAAAATATATGATTAGAAATACTAATAATAAAATTGAAATGACGATGCAAACATAAAGATTCTAATAACGATACAAAAGTTGATAAATTTTTTTCCTCGAAAAATCAATAAGTAGCTGTAAAACTAATGTGCCGAATTAAAAGATTATACGTCACCTTAATTTCAGAGTGTCTTGCAAATGTGCTGAATCGATCACAGGTGTCGTTTTGTGGGTGTATCTTTTTATTTGGACGCGTACCGCAACAATTCCGGGCATTTCCTCCTCGCTTCTGACGTCGTCGAACGACACGACTGCAGCGAGGGACCGAGAGCTTTAAGAGAAACATTGTGTAGAGCGAAGCACGCATACACACAGTGAGACGTAATCGTCTTGTCGTATCTAGGCAAGCGGCCGAGTTGACGGAGAGGACCTCCTCGGAGCAAGCGGCAGCTATCAAGGAGCCCCTGGGTGCGGTGAACAAACGATGGGACGGGCTGCTGAGGGGCCTCGTGGAGAGGCAACGATTACTGGAGAACGCGTTACTGCGTCTCGGCCAGTTCCAGCACGCCCTGGACGAGTTGCTGGTGTGGATCGAGAAGACCGACAAGACCCTGGACAACCTCAGGCCGGTGGCCGGCGATCCGCAAGTGATCGAGGTCGAGTTGGCCAAGCTGAAGGTGCTGGTGAACGACATACAGGCGCACCAGACGAGCGTCGACACCCTCAACGACGCCGGCCGCCAACTGATCGAGGACGGCAAGGGCACCGCCGAAGCGTCCACCACGGCTGACAAACTGGGCACCCTGAACCGGCGTTGGCGCGACCTGCTTCAGCGCGCTGCTGACCGCCAACGAGAACTGGAGGACGCTCTGCGAGAGGCGCAGTCCTTCACCGCCGAGATACAGGACTTGCTGTCGTGGTTGGGCGACGTGGACAACATGATAGTGGCGTCCAAGCCCGTCGGTGGACTACCTGAGACCGCGTCCGAACAGCTGGAGCGTTTCATGGAGGTGTACAACGAACTGGAGCAGAACCGGCCGAAGGTCGAGACGGTGTTGCAGCAAGGACAGGAGTACCTGAAGAGGGCGGACACGAGCAGCGCCGGCGGACTGAATCACAATCTGCGGACGTTGAAGCAGAAGTGGGACAACGTGATCTCGCGCGCCAGCGACAAGAAGATCAAACTGGAGATCGCCTTGAAAGAAGCCACCGAGTTCCACGACGCGTTGCAAGCGTTCATGACCTGGCTGACCAACGCCGAGAAGATCTTGACGAACCTCAAACCCGTCTCGAGGGTCATGGAGACCATACTGCAGCAGATCGAGGAGCACAAAGCCTTCCAGAAGGACGTCGGCGTTCACCGAGAAACCATGCTGAATCTCGACAAGAAAGGAACTCATCTCAAGTACTTCTCCCAGAAGCAGGACGTGATTCTCATCAGGAACCTGCTCGTGAGCGTGCAGCACAGGTGGGAACGGGTGGTCTCCAAGTCAGCCGAGAGGACGAGGGCCTTGGATCACGGTTACAAGGAGGCCAGAGAGTTCCACGACACCTGGTCGAGCCTGATGAACTGGTTGGACGAGACCGAGAAGACGCTGGACGAGGTTGCCGCCGATGGGCTCGGCGGTAACGATCCGGACAAGATCAAGTCGCGGCTCAACAAGCATCGTGAGATACAGAAGGCCTTGAGCGCCAAGCAGGGCACATACGATACCACCATGAAGAACGGCAAGGCGCTGAAGGACAAGGCGCCGAAGAGCGACGAGCCCGCCTTGCGCGAACTGCTGAACGAGTTGAAGAACAAGTGGACCACCGTCTGCGGCAAATGCGTGGACAGGCAGAGGAAGCTGGAAGAGGCGCTCTTGTTCTCCGGCCAGTTCAAGGATGCGATTCAAGCGCTGCTGGAGTGGCTGAGCAAGACCGAGAAGTACTTGGCCAACACCGGACCGCTCTACGGTGATTTGGACACGGTGACCAACCTGGTGGAGCAGCACAAGACGTTCGAGAGGGACCTGGAATCCCGCGCCTCGCAGATGGAGTCCGTCATCAAGACCGGTCGCGAGCTGGAGTCCAAAGCCAGCGTTGAGGACGCGTCGATGATCCGCTCGCAGCTGTCCGAGTTGAACAGCCTCTGGGACAGGGTGACCAGTCTCACGTCGAAGAAGTCTTCGCTACTGGAAGAAGCTCTCAGGGAGGCCGAGCGACTGCACAAAGCCGTCCACGTGTTACTGGAGTGGCTGAGCGACGCGGAGATGAAGCTGCGATTCGCCGGACCCCTGCCGGAGGACGAGCAGGAGAGCAGGAACCAGCTGATGGAGCACTCGCGATTCTTGCGCGAGCTGCAGACCAAGGAAATCGAGAAGGACAACACGCTGGAGCTGGCGCACATCATTCTCGGAAAGGCGCATCCCGACGGCGCCGCTGTCATCAAACACTGGATCACGATTATCCAGTCCAGGTGGGAGGAAGTGGCCACGTGGGCCTATCAGAGGAATCAAAGACTGGAGAATCATATGCAGGGACTACAGGTCGGTATAATTAAGGATGTATCGCTTATTAGTATTTTCAGTGGTACGTCGAGAAGGCTACTTATCAATTTAGGATGTTTGAGCGAAGAACTAGTTAGCTGACATCGTTACGTACGCATTTACAGGATCTCGACAATCTCCTCGAAGAACTATTGGCTTGGCTCGAAGGTTTGGAGAACACTTTGAACGCCTTGGAAGCGGAACCCCTGCCCGACGATCGGGCCACGCTCGAGATGCTTATTGCCGATCACAGAGAGTTCATGGAAAATACCAGCCGCAGGCAGAACGAGGTTGATCGCGTGTGCAAGGCCCGACAGATCAAGCCGATGAAGGACACGAGAAAGATATCGAAAGTTAAATCACCAGCGCCTATGTACGTGTTTATTGACACACGAACACATTTTTACACACAACGATGTCATCATGTGCCGATGAAATTGACGGGGTGATAACATATCACGCACATATCATCAATATGTCGCGTGATATCGAAATCATTTGGAATATTCGATATCACGCGACATATTGTGTGTGTAATTATCTCCACTCTGTGTTCAACCATTACTTTAATTTCGTGTTGCTTTCTAGTCATATTTACTTGTGTAGTCACGCACTTAATCGTTCTAATTTAGTTCGTGAATCTTGTCACGCACATTGCAGTAGCGATCACACTTTCAAATCGTATCTTAAAGCACCACGAATGTTTCTCCACGACCTGCTTTTGCAATCTTCTTTTTTTTTTTTATGTTTCGTCTCATATATTGAATTCCATGTGTGTGTTTAATTGTTGCATGATACGTTGCTTTTGCAATGGAATTCCAGTAAGGATCACTATCAGGATAGCGAGCATGAGCAGTCTCAACCTCGCAAACAAAGGTGCGTTGTCGATCATAACATATGTGAGTCTTTTCGCACAATTTAACTTGGCTGTTTCGTTCGAGGCAACTTTTATCCGCAAAGTAACGAGTGTGGTACATTGTTTCCAACAAACGATGTTCAAGGGATGTTCGGCATCTTAATGAACAATACCATTATCATATTAATCTTGTCTGGCATTTGCGAATTCAAACATGCGTAGAAACGGAATAGCCGAGTTAATCGAGTAGTCACCTCGTAAGTAAAGTGTTCGTGATTTAGTGTGCGCATCTGTTTAGAATAGTACACGTTCCTTGTTTGAACTCGACACTTACGGCACCACACTCTCACCGTATCTCTTTGGTTTCGATCGCACAATCATTCCGCAGTATCCAACACCGAGAGAGTCCACGATTCGACAAGAACGTTAAATGTTCCTTAACTCACATTCTCGCTTCTCACTCGTGACTCGCTATGTTCTCATAATCACGATGTGTTCACAACTTCTGCATTGCATCGAAAGACACAACCTACACTCTATTCTCACGTATTCTGCGTCGCAATTTGTAACACGCACATATAGCTTAACTAAGAATCGTTATGATTTTTTTTTCTTTTTTTTTTTTTTACCAACTTTTCAATGATGAAACTGATCTTTCTCAAGATCTATTTACATCTTCAATCGCTTTACACATGTAGAAATCGCACACTCAACGAGAGAAATCTCTTATTAGTTCCACACCGTTCTTTTAAATCTGATACTCACAATAAGACGATATGTAACGTCGACGGCACGTCGACGGGGTACTTAATAGATGCGTTATTCAGTAGAAAGTGTTTGAGTGATGTGACGCATGTTCCTGTTTAGCCGAGGCAGCCCGGGTCGTGACAGAACTCCAGATCTTTCATTGCCGCACATCGGTCCACGCTTCCCACCCAAAGGAAGGTTCGTTTACGCCTTATTCTTTACTTGAGTTCATCCCACGCTCCGATTCGCCCGGAACCATACCAGGCGTTATACAACCACATACAGTACGACTCGGTCATACCGTATGACCCACTAATGACTCGGTAGAGGGAACGTTCTTGTCCACTCTTGGGCGGGATGAAATGCGGTTGGGTTTGACGAACTCTGCTGTTACTGCTCGTTCACGAGACCGTCTGTTTTTGTATTGAACGTGTGAAGTTTTGGGTCTCCTTACTGCGATATATTCATTTGGATTTTCATTCAGTTATTCTCTCTTTCTCTTTCACTTTTTTTTCCTTTTTTTTTTCCGGTCACAAGTACTAACATATCACACGATTATCACCATTTTGCATTCATGTTTAGAGTTACATCAGCAATCATTCACCAGCCGAGACGATATTTCGCACTTCCAACTTTTATATAGATTAGCATTCCGTTGTACGTGCGTGATGTGTATCTTATTCTTTGCAAGCAGCAAAGGAGCCGAGCCGGAATTCCGCAGTCCGAGAGTCAAGCTGCTCTGGGATAAATGGCGTCACGTTTGGATGCTAGCGTGGGAACGTCAACGCCGGCTGCAGGACAAGTACAATTACATTCAAGAGCTGGATCGCGTCGCCAACTTCAGTTGGGAAGACTGGCGCAAGCGGGTAAGGCTTGCGGAAAGGATTTGTCCTTATCTTTCGCGTCTGATAAAAATGCATCGGATCTTTCCTTCTTTAATTATTACAATGCGAACAAGTGCACGTTGTTTGCTTTCCAAATGCAGTTCCTGAAGTTCATGAACCACAAGAAATCCAGGCTGACCGACCTCTTCCGGAAGATGGATAAGAATAACGACGGGCTGATACCGAGAGAGGACTTTATTCAAGGAATTATGAACACCAGTACTTATCATTTGCTATTTCCTTCAAGAATATAACCGTGGTATCTCTAATGCCGTGACTTTGCAGAATTCGAGACTTCTCGTCTGGAGATGGGCGCCGTCGCCGATCTCTTCGATCGCCACGGTGAGGGCCTCATAGACTGGAAAGAGTTCATTGCCGCTCTACGACCCGATTGGGAGGAACGACGAACGTACAACGACACGGATAAAATACACGACGAAGTCAAGCGACTGGTCATGCTGTGCACCTGTCGCCAGAAGTTCCGAGTTTTCCAAGTTGGCGAAGGGAAGTACAGGGTACGTTTATGGCGATCATAACAACTTACCGTATCATTTTAACTGATCTCTATCTTGATTATTTCAATTACCCGGTTTTAATTGCAATGATCGCGGGCGTTTCAGTTCGGCGATAGCCAGAAGCTGCGATTGGTTCGAATTCTGCGCTCCACCGTCATGGTGCGCGTTGGTGGAGGCTGGGTGGCGCTAGACGAATTCCTACTGAAGAACGACCCGTGCCGCGGTAAGTATTCGCTACGAGCTCTTAAACTGCGTGATATTTTCAAGGGTGGATGATATCTAAGAGATGGATCGAAGTTGGATTCAAAGTTGCTAAATTTCATTGTTAAACTGTACTCGAAATACATATGTAGTACAGATTATAAAGAAATTTTTCCCTTTTTTCTAATAAATTGTTCGAACATCGATCCTCTTCTTTTTTAATAACGTCCATCCCTATCTTTCAGAGATTTAAAATTAGGCTGAGATAAACCGTAACCGTGAAGTTGTCTCTACCTATAAGTTTTATCGTCACCGAATATTAAGATTTTTATCGATTCTCGATTGTGCCCAAAATATGCACCACGTATAAAAATTAAAGATTCAATTTGCTCCATCATCAAAAATAAGATAGAATTGAACAGGTTGTAGCTTTGAAAGAAATAATGATTGCGAGATGGTTCAAGAAGTATTTTTGCAGTTTGATATGACTCTAATTTCCAGATATATATTTCTAGATATAACGTTCACAAAGATTTTACAATATTACACGAATATAAATCGAAACATAAAATATTAAAACATTCGATAGTTTCAGGTTGCACTACATAAAGCAAAAATCGCACATAGAAGCTAAAATATACTTTCGGCTTTGATCCTTCACACGAAAGTGAACTAATTAGTTATTTTGTTACCATTATCTTTTACGAAGTTACAGCCCGTTGAATTTTGTCCGTTTTTCGTGACTGAAAGAAGCTTTTAATTTCTGTGCGCAGTGCATTTGAAAGTCAAATAATTCCTTGATTAAGAACATCTCGGGTAACTTTCGAAAGAAAATGTTGATAATACTATTTCCTTCTCTCTACCCACTTCCCAAGAGGCAATTAAAGTTGCGTTCCTGTTTAATTTGAATATTTTTAATCGTTGGAAAGGACATGTACCTGAGTATTGCTCATCATTATTAACAGACATATATTAACGTTCTGTTTTTTTTTGGTTCTCATCATTCTTATTTCATATTAATTGACATTAATTTGCTTCGTTGCATTAAATATAGGAATGTAGTGTGATTTACAAGAGATTTATTGTCATTAACGAAAGCATACCCGAACGTCGATTCGACGTAACCGTTTTGTATGCTGTGTTTTTATCCTGGTACTAAAAATATATTAACGTATTATTATATATACGTACGATTTCGACTCCTGAGGTAATCGTAACATCATCATTAATCAAACATTAAACGCAACTCGATATTAGTTTAATAATTAACGAACAATTAAGGGTAGTGTACACACCCGCTGTTTATTGCTTTCGCTTATTCGAATACATAACCATCTTTCTGCCATATAGTATTGGGTTTTAGTCCGTTGGCTTTCGTACTTACCGATTGATGAGTATAACGACAATGCAAAACGAATGTCGTCGACATTCCGTAATTTCTTCTAGGTCGTGTATTTCTTATGTTTGTGCTATTTGCAGTATGCATGAGAACGATTGATTTAATCATTGAATTGCGTGAAAATGTCCACTAAGTCGTTCGCTCTATCTTTCTCCGTATTTTTCTTTCATTCTCTCTCTCTCTTTCTTTCTCTCTCTCTCTCTCTCTCTCTTTCTCTATTTGTCTCCACCTTTCCGTCTCATTGGTAAATTCTGAAATATCAATCTCACGGTCGTCTAACCGTTAACTCTCCGCCAGAGAACCTTTTTTGGGATAGAATATGGTTTTCACGGATAGTAGGTAGAAGGTAATATTATAGGCATATCTAACACATCTTGTGTCGATGACTATGTACTAACATTAACGTAATAACCATCCCTTACTATCCATACCATCATACCTCACATCCTCCTCACATCCATTTACACGTCCAACTCTACGACAAAATATTTCTATTCGTTTTATTTTGGCGTTTCTCTTTCTCTCTCTCTCTCACTCTCTCTTTCTCTTTTTCGTTTTTACGTTTTTACGTTTTTTCTCGAATGCGTCCCGCGACACGCGAATCTCAAACCTGCTCGAACCGCGGCGAAATGCATGATTTTATATACACCTCGCTCTTTCTTCCAATCGACTCTGTCTCTCGAATCGTGAATTAACTCGTTAAGTTTTTCTAATGCCAATACCGGACCCTAACAAACCGGAACAACATGAGGGTTGGTGTCCGCTCGGTGAGAACTGTTTTACGTGCACATAATTCGCTCATGGTCTATACGCCGATTAATTATTAGTATTAAACGCACGTTCGATCGTTAATTAAGCCTTGTTGGAGCCCGCTGTCGCGCTGGATGATATTTATGACGATAACCACGTTCATTCTGTGATGACCGTTTCAGTATAGACCATGAAGGTGAAGTCCCTACGTATGGTGCATGATGTTATTCGCTTGTTCGGACTGATTTTTCAAGTGTTGTCCTTTTATTTAGTGCGTCTATATATGCGTGCCTTTGTGCGGTTGCATTGATATGAAACGTTTGACTATCGGCAATTACCGTTATTTTCTCTCTCTCTCTCTCTCTCTCTCTCTCTCTCTTTTTTCTTTTTTCGAGCAAGGTAAATAGATTGCGCAGGTGAAATTGACGCTGTGGTTACTGAGCTGTGTAATGTCGAGTGCCGCCTCTTCTTCGTTGAAGCATCGAGTTTTGAAGAGAAATGTGTCCGATTGCAAGACGGGATTACAAGCGTAGATTACATGCCGCACTCGTGACGCTTTCTCGTTCCCCCGTTTGACAATTTTCTAGTTTTCCTAGGTTTTGGCGAATGGTTAGCATTAAACGGAGACCTGTCCGGTAAATGGTTTCTGATTATTTCCCGTGTGAGCGCTCTATCCCCGTATTAATATTGGATGTGAATCTTTCTTCATTTTCTTTTAGATTTATTGGTAGCTTCTGTTCTTCGTAGAAATCTTAATACCCCTGTTAGAAGAGAACCAATGCATGTTTAGTGAATTTTAGTATTGTTTATTACCGTTCCAACGCGGCGGGTTTTTGTACATACGATCTTATCAAATCCTCCTACTCCTGTATATTTAGCCTATTCAATCATTGAGATATTATTACATTAACCGAAATACATTGGTTTCTTTTGGCATGGTTCCGAGTATAATCCACCAAAGGACTTTTTACCTTTGGGGGATGTACATACCGTGTAAATTAATTGCTTATATCGTGAAATGTACGACAATACGGCGAGGTGAATCTCACGTGTTTACGTATTATCATAAGGAGAGCAGAAGGCTCTCAAGATGATCACATCGCTCATCAGTCGCACATTTTACAACGTAAATCCCTCAGCACCAAATATCATTATTGTCAGTATTATAAAGTTTAATCAATAGCAGAATAGCGTATTTATCTTTTGGCTCTTGTACTGTGAATCTTTTTTATGTAATGGATATCTAGTGACGTATAGCTTTTCGAATAACTGTCCTGATTAGCTTGGAAGTTAATTATATTAGACATTTGTTTCGATTATATATTCTAAATACGCTGTCTTTTCTTTTTTTTCCATGATACACAAACATACACCTGGATACGCTACATACACGTATATGCGCATACATACATTTACTCGAAACGCACGCGTATCGTGTACAACCAACATCTCTCATTCTCTCTTTCTCATTCTCGCTCTCTTTCTATTTCGCCTATTCTTTCTTTCTCAACCCATTTTTCGTTCTCTCGATACTGTAATTTTCCCATTCATTATTATCGCTGTTCATTGACAACGCGCATGCTTTGATATTGTGAATCTGTAAAAAATATACATATATATATTGTTACACCTTTCGCTCCATACAACTCACGACTCTCGTTCCGGATGTTGCCGTTCTGATGTTTATGTATCTTTTTTTTTTTCGCTTCTTTTTCTGTCTCGATATAACGCGTTCTGTACCGTTTCTCGCGTTCGTTATCACACCTCTACTTCATCTACGTACGTTTGCGCTCTCCCTCTTTCTGTCTCACTGTCTCTCTCTCTCTTTCTTTCTCTCTCTTTGAAAATTTTCTGTACAAATAACAATCTCTCTGGCACCTCCTCTCATGACCCTGCGTCCCCGAACGCCTTTTCCCTTAACCGCGTGCACGCAACACACTGTAGCCAAGGGAAGAACGAATATCGAGCTGCGGGAGCAATTCATACTGGCGGATGGCGTCAGCCAGACTATGACGGCCTTCCGGTCCAAGCCGAGCCCGACCTCGACGTTGCAGCGTACGCAAATGTCCTCCACCAATGCCGGACCGATCACCAAGGTAAGAAGGTGGTCACGTCGTCGCGCAACTCGCCGGCCGAGGTGAACGCGAGTGTCCGCAAGTCGCGAATTCGCGCTCACGATCTGTCGGTTCTGCGCTCTGACTGTTTGACCCGTAGTAAGGGCCTCAGCAAAAGGGCCGACTTCTCGGTTTAAAACGATGTTTTATGCCTTGAGTCTTCGTCTTCAAGTAACCGACAATGACCGTCTCGTGTCTTGAGTCTTAAACCAAAGGCCGTCCTGCTTGTGGTTGATGACAAACCGCTATATATATATATATATATATATATATATATATATATATATATAGCAAAGTGAACAAACGATAATTTAGATAAAGATTCGGGGCGTGAAACATTGTCTGAAAATTACAAGTCAACCGTTCTGCTGGGGTCCGGTAACGCTCGGTAATTTGAGTTCTCGCACTGGGACGTTTCGGGACGAGTCTCGCGCGGGATTTCCATGCCGCTCCACCTGATGAGTCGCTCTGCCGACGCGAATGTCTCTCGAAACGTCCCGCGTTTATAAACGTCAGCACGTACGGTATTCCATTTCTCGCGCGGAACCTCTGATTTCTCTGCCGTTAATTAGCGAACCGTCAAGTAGTAAATCGTAGAGTACTCATGAACCCTGGCACCGGCTCGGTGTATCGGATCTCAGGTGTCATTATGTGGGAGGTCGTTATTAGGAAAGTTAAATTGCACGTTACACGTTTACCCGGACAACCGCTCGCTCGCTCGTTCCATCGACACGTCGTCGCCGACGATGATATGCGTAAGTACACGAACCACATTCTTCTGAAATTCCGTCAGCCTGCCCGTTTGATGACTTTCGCATGAGCATGAACAGTTTCGCAGGCAGTTGCGTTGTGTTGGACACGTAGGCAGCTAGATATAACGTAGATAACGCTTGTCTATTCTCATCATCGGTCGATTGGTCGCGCGTAAGAGAAGCTCCGCGCCCCGACCATCGACGAGCACGACACACGCGTGTAAATTCATGAGACCCGGACAGTACGTGTTGTCCGCGGCCCGAGCTCTTCGCCCACGACCTCAGGAGATGCGATTTCGTAAACGTTTTTCATTCACCCACTTTGCCCGCGACATCCCTTCCCATCCTCGTCGTTTCGCAACGGCGGGCGGGAAGTGTGTCACATTTTCCTACCTCCATATATATATATATATATATATATATATACACCAATCACCATCCTCTCGTCCATCCTCTCAGAGAACCTGTAAATTGTGCAGCGGAAAGTCGCCGCATTGGGATCGTGGCGGCACGATTTCACACACGATTTTGCGCTTCGATCGGTTTACTTTAGCGTAGAGACAATACGAGAGAGGGCTAGCTCTGTTCTTTCTCTCTCTCGCTCTCTCTCTCTCTCACTCTCCCTCTCTCTTTTTTGGAGATATCTTTCGCTCTCGTCTTGAGAGCGAGTCTCTCCCGATGTAAAGCCGAAGGATCGCCGTGATCGCGCGAGGAAGCTAAAGATTTTCCGTTTGTGGTGTAGCGGAGGAGTTTATGAGCCAGCTGATGCCGATATTTGAGAATTTGAGGCAAAAGGAGGATCTCCCGTGCTCGTATCCCCTTCAAATGCACGCACCCTCTTACCATTGGGTAAATAAGCAGATTTTCTCAGATTTTCTATTGTCGTTCGGTGTGTGCTGTTGTACGTTGACACGGTCGAGTTTGGGCTTTTCTTTTTGGAGTGCGCCCACGACGCCACTTAACTCGCGGGACTCGCCTCGACCGGGACTCGAGTCGATCGGGGGTGTGTGATATGCGTTTTCGTGTCGTTTCTGTGTCTTGCTTTTAAGCCCCCCCCCTCCCCCTCCTCTCTGCTATTCTTCCGTCTATTCGTTCTGTTTGATCGAAAGAGAAGCATTGTATAAATTCTTATATAAATTGCAGGGGAGATTGCAAATTGTTACGAACGCGTTTCTGTTGTATCTCGCTAATATAACTGTCACATCATTATCATCCTTGATTTATATGGGAATTTATACGGAAGAAGCGGTCCCGTAGGTCTTATCCACTAAACACAAAAAGTGTCCCGACCATTCTTACGCCGACTGTAACTGATTGCGCGACGAGATGCATGTTACAAGAAATTGTGTCAAGTCCGAGAATAGCTGTGGGTGATGCTAAGGACAATGGGTGGAAATGGAACGCGGAAGGAACGCTTATGAAGGAAGAAGACAAAGGGGAAACGGAAGAAAGGACCTCTCTCCTTCTTTCTCNTCTCTCTCTCTCTCTCTCTCTCTCTCTCTCTCTCTCTCTCTCTCTCTCTCTCTCTCTCTCGAAAATGCATTATCGTATATATATATATATATCCGGTCATTTTATTTCCGTTCTGCTTCCACCCATTTTTTCCTCGAGAGATGCATGATGAGAAGCTCTCAACTGCCTCAAATCTAAGTTTTTAAGTTTCGGGAGAAACTATTTTTTCCCATTTTTCCGCGAATTCCTGCGGTTTCTGTTCCAAAGGTACAAAAATTGATTTAGAAAAATTCACGTGTGTTCGGTTGAAACGCTCCCACATTTACTTTTTTCCGTAAAGAAGATAAGAAATCTAATAAATTTGCGGAGAAATGAGAAAAAGAAGTTTTTTTCTCCGAAACTTTAAAATTGTACTCGAATCCATAAAAGCCGTCTTGTCTAAATCCCCGTACTGTTCGTGTTAGATTCACTATAGTGCGCCTCTCGCAAGCTGATAACGCGGAATGCAACAAACAGCAACAACAAAAACGCCCCGTAGCATCATCATCCGCATCGCATTATACTTTCGCATCGAATTGATTTCTCTTTTTAGTTAATCGTCGAGCGTCTGATTTTGGTCAGAAAATTATTTCGACGCCTCTGAACAACTCCCTGCCCCCTTGCCCCCCTCGGTAGAGAATGATCGACGCAACCTGTGCCTCGGTCCGAGCATGAAGAGAGAACGCTCTTTCGTTGATCTTTTTCGCGTCTCGTTTCGAATATCCGCGTGGGTGATGCAGACCTCGATTTCTCGGCGCATCCGCGCAAATAATTATGGGTATAATTATGTGTGCATCGAATTGTGCATATATAATAGTTATAATTCGCCGGGGTGAGCGCGCATTTATTCGTACGAAGCGGACGGACACATATCGTGGATACGTAGTTAATTTATTGAACATGAATATGCATAACGAATGTCCGTATCCTGTATTGCTGCGTACATAGTGGCATTGATCGGGGATACCTCGAATCACCATAAGCTACTGTATCTCTCCCAACTTCTCCTGGTAAGTTCTCGCATGACATCTCGCTTCACTTACTCGCAATCTCGATGAATGTAATAGCGGTTTACTTTTCCCCCCTTTTTTTTTTATTTATTTTTTAATTCTCAGTTTCTCAGTATAGATCTCGATAGTGGCTTCGACGAACGTAAATGAACCGCTGACCGGTCTGTTTCCACCAGTTCGCAGCTGTGCACAAGTTTGAGTTGCTTTTTAAAATTTTGGACGGTAACGACCGTGGATCCACGGATCCACGGGTCTGTGGGACGAGTTAAATTCTCGGGAAACTGACTTTTCGGACAGTTACGTTTTGTTCAAATGGCGATATAGTAGACGAGAAGATTAGAATTGTGTAGTGTCACAGAGAGCGTCTGTATGTCTTTTCTGTTACCGTAAAGATGTCAAACGTTTACATCGAGCTAATTAATTTCAATAGTTTTGAATGCCTTATCTTCGCTACATATGGTTGCGGTGCATTTATGGAAGATAACTGCTCTCGTTATATCGAAAGAAATAAAATTATTAGATATACTTCGGCAAGTTTTGAGGAACATCCAGCATAAAGAGCACTTGAACCTGGCGTATTGGCGCGCGACATAACTTGCACACAGCGTGTGTATTTGCAATTATTAATCGTAAATTAATTATTCGTTGTCTATGGCGGCAGAGAACGCGTAACACAAAACCGTACAAGCTCTATGTCTATATCTGATACCCGTATTAGACATGTATTAGATGTACGATGGCTTTTTCTGTTTCCGCGCATATGCTTACGCATTAGTACAGATTTTATTGAAGGAATTTTTTCATCTCACTCTCAGGTAAGAGAACGCAGCGCTCGCAGCGTACCTATGGGTCAATCGCGAGCCTCACGCTCATCCTTGAGCGCCGGCACGCCGGACAGCCTTAGCGACAACGAAAGTTCCTTCAAGATATCCGCTAGAAAAACCAGCACGCCTTACAGATCTACCGTGACGCCCGGTAAGTTCTCATCTAAGAACGGGATCGATTTCAAACAGTATCGATGAAAAAACGCACATTCGACTATCTATGCCTAATTATATTATAATCTTAATTATCTTATTTTAATTATAATCTCCAAATGTAATAGGAATATCTAATATCTGATTAAATAATGCGAATTAATTAGTTTTGGAATACCGACGTGACATCATTTACGATTAATCGCGTTATGATTTCTTTTTGCAGGTGGTAGCCGTCCATCCAGCAGGCCGACCTCGAGACCTGCCTCCCGACCTGCCAGTAGGCCAAGCAGCCGACCTGCGTCGAGACAAGGAAGCAAACCACCTAGTCGATATGGATCCACGCAATCATTGGACGGTACGTATAGTTCATGCGATTAGTGTTTGTTATAGTTTTAAAGGCTCAGGAGAAAGTTTTATTTTCTTTACTTTTCCGCTGTTTTCGACTTCTTTTCGCGAATAACGTAAAAAGACATTTTTCCCCTAGAGATTCTTTCGATTTCTTTCCGCAGAAAAATGAAAAAAAAAGCAGTTTATTTAAAACCGTAGTCTTTATTTTGTTTTCTCATCCATTAAGTGATTTATATATTGAGAAAAAATCAATTGCTTCCTGCGTGTCGTTATAGACGATTCGTGCACCCCGAGTCGCATACCACGGAGGACCATCGTGGGCTCCGGCAATACTCCGACGTCCAGCAGGCACAACAGCATATCCGGTAGGAAACTCGCGACTCCGGTGAACGGCTCGAGCTCTCGACCTCGCACCCCTACGGGATTGGTTAGCCCCGCAAGTGGGGTGCCCTCCAGGTATGCGGCCTTTAATCATGCGCGTAATGATTTCCCGTCGAGATAACTTGAAAGTAGATCATGGAACTAACTCGCATTATAGCGTGCCTTACGTAAAGAAGAATACATACGCATAATATAAGTCAGTCGTGTGCGTAGATTAACGAATAATCAGTGCAGTAGCACCTTATCTCTCACGGTCGAACTGATTGCAATGGTTCGAGGAATGTTCGATATGGCCGTTTCCCGTGAATTTGACGATTTATTTTTTTACTTAGTCATCGAATGATTTTTCCCCTCTCCTTGTTTCTCTCCTTTTTTTTGCGTTTTGTTTATTACTTCCCGCAGTTTGCGATTCACACACGTATATTACGACTCGAAATACCGTTAAAGTGTTCGATCATAAAGGAATTCTCCCGCTCGAAGGAATAAAATTCAACGGACTCGCGATACAAGCGACAAATCACATATCGATTAATCGAACCGCCTTACCATTACATCCCGTGTTAACCGCAGAACATTTTGCGCGACTAACCGATCGATTTACAATTGTTCGATTATCATTAACGGATCTGGTTAACAACATTTTTTAGGTTTGGCTCAATCCATAGAGCTTCGAGCATTCCAACCCTGACTGGTGTCGGAACACCGATCAGGTAAAGGCAGATTAACGAATCGGCAGTTTCGCGTAAAACTGGCGCGGGGGAAGCGATCTCGCGACTGTTCGCTTTGCCCTTTGCCTTCTGTCTTCGACAGTTCGTTTTGTCACAAGTGAATATCGCAGTAGGACGGAAAGGACAAAGGCAAATCGCAAAATAGAATGTTGCGAGACGTTTTGTGGTTCAGGGGAATGATCGCTTCGGTAAAAAGTCTCGTCTTGGTCGTGGTGACGGTTACGGTGACAGAGTGATACTTTTCAGGCATATTTAAGCTCCCTCTCGTTGCAGTCATCGTGGTTAATGACGTCAGAGAAGCGAGAAAACGCATGTCTAAAATTCAAATAAAAAGCTAACACAGCTAGCACAAAATGACACATGTGATCGATTCAGCACACTTGTAAAATACTCAGAAATCTTTCCTTTTGTTCGAACAATCTTCCGAAAAAAGGTATAAATGTCATTTCATGGACACATTTTTGGTTTGATCGGCAAGAATTCTCTGGAGATAAATTTTCTCGCTTCCACGTCACAACACAAGGTGGCCCCTGCTGCGAGGTCATAGTGGCGTGTTAAGCTTGTTCCTTTACTATTATTCTTTACTACATTATTCTTTCACCTCAGTCCTCGATGAGTCGACCGTGCCTTTTCTTTTCTCTCTCGTTTCTTCCCCCCGATCGAATTCTCGCGCGGTAACAACAGACTTCATTCTCTCGCACGCATTCATGTAACACGGTGTACTGTTCGCGCAATAAAAAAAATGACCTGGTTTCGATGGTGATGCCTTAGCCGCTCTAGGATACCCGTGTATGTGGGAGCGGATATAAAATCTCCTCAGTCGACCACCAGCAATATGTCGACTCATTCAACCCAAAGCAACCATTCTACGATCTCTACTGATTCCACTGGGTATGGCTGAACTTGCGCTTTTGCATACGTAACCCCGCTTTCTTCTGTTTCTTTCCCTCGTTTTTATTTCTCCTTCGTCGTTACCGTACGTTTGTTTTGGCCCCTTTCGAGTGTGTTGTGTACAACTCTTCTCCTCGTATTTGGCGCCGTTATTCATCGCTCCGACGCAGACCTGTATCGGAGATTAGCATGTCGTATCGCGGCGCGTTAGCTCCTTCGGTAATAACAGCTTGCGTCGTTCGACGAGATCGGCGCCTTTTTGTGTTGCTACTTTGACTTTGCAGTACTTCACATCACTTGCCTTGCTTTCTCAAAATATCTACGCGATCGCAATCTCCTTGTTTGTTACTTGAGAGCCTTGTAACTAACAACGTTTTCTTTCACGATGCCAGGAGCAGTTCCGTGTGTACAAATTCAGCGACTAACATACCGTCAGCCGTAAAACAAGCTAGGTAAACATCAGCATTAATTATCACTCGTCACTTATTACTTCCCTTCTTTTGGCTCGTTCGCTGAGAAAAAAAGATTTCGCTAAAAAGGAGTATGTCAGTACCGTTTTGCACTTTGAACGGCTTCAAAACGCCTCGTGTTGGACGGTGAACAAAGAACGTTGCGCGGTGCGCGTTCGCTCACATGCGCCATGATGGTGTGTTTCAGGGTACGCACACCGTCCAGTGGATCCAGCACGCCGTTGCCGCCGTCCTCGAAACTGTCGAGGAAACCCTCCGGAGCATCCGACACGTCCGTGTCGGGCAGCACCTCCAGCGCGAGGAAAGGAAAGCCGACACCAATCGAACAACGCGCGCCGTTCCGATTGTAATAGCTTATTAACGGATAAACACATAGCTTGTAAAACCCGCGATATGCTATATATATCACACACAGAAAACGAGAAAATAAATATAAAACGTCCCCGTCGCAGACTTAGGGAAGATTGCATGGGTATTACAGGGAACATATGAATATGATTGTTATGTTGCATAATGGAGTAAGAAGGGGAAGGAAGAAGAAAAGAGAGAAAGAGAGATGGAAGTGCGTGTAACATGGGAATGTTGCTAAATCAGCTAGATCGAAATTTTCATTTGGAGGCAAACGACGAATCTACGAATTACGACGCGGTTTCTTTTTATTATATCTGAGTTTCGCCAAGTACGGAATGCCATTAAATTTCCGAGTACGAATGAGTATTTGATACTCTCTTTAGGATAAGGGATTATACGAACAGAGCGGGGAAGTTTATTTATTTCGTGCTCGTTAGAAAGTGCTTGAGAAGTTCACCTTCGTAGTTCATAATATAACGCATAACGGCGAAGTAAATTATTGTTATAACGAATATATCTTAATCTTGGCATTACCGGGAGAAGGGAAGGTAATGTTCCGTAACACTGAAAATATTCCGGCGAGGAGTGGACGACGCCACGCGCCCTCGCTGTTTCTCTCGATAAGGACAATACTACTAAAAGAGTTTTAGCATGAAAGGATCAGCATTATATGTATTATAATTACGCTTACGTTTGAATTATGATTAGATACGCCTGTAATTACTTTTATAATTTAGCATAATTCACTCATCTGTCACGCGCGCGCATACCATTGCGTGTTTTATACGTCGCGTAAACATCGAGGGTTTCCTCGACACAACATTTTTGAACTATATTTGAGCAATATGTATACTCGGTCATATATTAATTTATTTAATATTTTCCGCTTGATTTATGTGTTAGTCATTAATATGCCTAACGCGCATTCGTCGATGAAAAAGGAAAGTGGAGAAAAATATTGTGTTCTTTACGATGTGTAATCTGACATTATTAATTTCTGCTGTCCGTTTCGCAAATTATGCCATACATATTCGATTTACACATGTGAGGGCATCTTTAACGTAGCGATTTTATTTTTTATTTCCAAGTTATATAATTATGATAACACAGCAAGTAATGCTATTTCACGAAGCAGGGAAAGAAGGAATGACATGAATGTTGATTGTGGAGTCTTTTCAAGATATAGGAAACGTCGTTTCGATCGGTTTATGCTTTTGCGAAACGGCGAAATATTTTTAGCAATTTTTTGAATAAATTGCGAGACCGTAATCAAATCTAGTTTATGACTACGCACAAATTTAATGCGCGGTTCGCTTTTGTTACGCGTTTGCAATTCGGTACGTATATCGATATTGCGAACGAGAGATTTAAGATTTCGAGGAGAGAGCGGAAGAAGCATACCTAACAGCATTGATATGTTAAATGAAGTTACTCTTGTGAATAATTCAGTAAAATATATTCCGTTGCGCGAAGTGGCCTGTTAGGTGACGGGTGGAAAAAAAACAAAACTCTGAAAAAAGACATTTCCATATTTTTTTTTTACATATATATATATAGATATATATATATATATATAGATATATATACTTTTAGATGCGATTAATGTAACGACGTGACTCGCTGCCTGTTTATAAATATTACCTAATATGCGATTAATCTATTAACAACTTCTCAAACGATTTTTGTTTCTTTTTTCACTTACCGAGAAGTGCTGTATCGTTGCTAATAATAATAATTATTATGAAGATATTGATGATGACGCAATGTTAAAAAGAAATATAACAGACACACGCACACGCATAAGAAGAAAAAAGAAGAGAAAGATATTCTCGACCCATTTTCTTTTCTATTTTTTATTTCCATGGCGATTGTTGCACACTATGTAAATGTATAAAAAGAATGTAAATATAACATTGGCGCAACAATGTTGTGTGACTCATACACGCGTGCGCATGCTCTTCTTCTCATAATCATATTTTCTAATCGAAATCCATGGTTTCGCGGTAAATAAAAACAGAAAAGAGGAGGACATGGATCCTATCGATTGCTTATGTGTTCTGCTCGGCAATGCCTAAATTAACCGTCGAACGGCCGCGGTCTCGAAAAAGAAGGCGAGTGGACGTGTTGCCGCGCGGTTTCCTGTCGCGCATCTTCGTCGAAGTATCGGCTGTATGAGGGCTTTTCCCGAAATAAGTCACCGACGCGTGTTTTATTTCCGTGACGGTCGTCGAAAGCGCGCGAGCCAACAACCGAGAAGCGTTGTTTCACCGGGGGCTCGCTGCGAGCAACCCGATTCCACCGTCGTCGGCGGCAAAATGTGTTAAAAGAGAGAAGACCACGTGTGTGACAATGTGTGCTCATCGTCCGCTCGCCTGTTCCAGGGTTAAACATAGCTACTTGGCTACGCAGCGATACCGATAGGGTTTTCCCGAACGGGAATAATACGTCAGTCCCGATCCTCCAGTGTCAATTTACAGACACGATGTGTAATGTATCAAGCCGATAGGTTTCGGGAGAATCCGGCGTGGAGAAGAGCCGACAGCTTTGTGTGCATGCTCCCCCGCTGATAAGGCTTACGAAGTATCTCTCGAACGGTGCTCTCCGATGCGCGCGGCCCGTAGTAGACGTGTAATTTATACAAGGGTGCCATCCCATGCAAGAATTAGTGGTCGGAATGATTTTCGCCGCGATTTTTGTAACGCTCCGGACTTATCCTGCTCGACATGCGCAATAATGCGCGCTTGAATTGGCTGTTGATCGTTGTTGTAGCTGGTATAAATGCGTTCCCGATTTCCCGGGGACGCGAAACAACAGGAAAAGACGGATATCGGTGATGTGTGTTTTGTGTGTGTGTGTGTGTGTGTGTGGGTATGTGTGAAAGAAAAAGAGAGAAGGAGAGGGAGAGAAAATCACGCTGTCAAAGGATGTGTAAAGTATCAAAGTGATGTTTCTCTATCATAATACTCGGTGTCGTGTCTCTCTGTTGCCCGCACCCCTCCTCCTCCGGATTCAATCACGTTAGGTCCGTATCAGACTATGGATTGTGGATTACTATCAGGCTAATCAGGTAAGGGACCATTCAGCAATTATGTTACAATACGGGGAGAAGAGGGGTATATTAATATTAATGGTAATCTAAATCTTTGGATTTATTTGACTGATCCGATTGTAATCCTCAATTTGAAGTTTGATAACGGCCTTAAGGGTCATGACACACAGAAAAATATAAGCAGTAAGACTTAAACAGTAAAGAAATTGACCATTCGTAGTCGATCATTCTCCTTATGGTCGAACAATGATCGATTGGTCAATTTGATTACGTTTTTGTGTGTGCAATGAGCCTTTAAAGCCTGTTCTACAATAGGTCATATGTCGGGGTGGAACGCAGCCGATGGTCCAGTGAGAGAATTTCTTTTTCGAAAATGAGTTCTCCTCATTGGACTTCATTGGATTTCACCTGTTTACACCGGCTGTTTAATATACACATCAACTAGCAATTTTATTCTAAATTGTCTTTATGTTAGTGACACGTGTAAACATCGGTGTGTTAAATTGATACGATTTTACGTTTTCGTAATTCGCATTATACCACCCGTCGTTTACACGCCTTGTCGAAATTGAGGTAATCTGATAGAGTTAGTATTTAGTACACGTATCAAACGACTGGTGTAAACTAGGCCACTGGACAACTGTATTGTGTAACAGGTCTAAAGGCCGTCTACAATGGTCGTGGAGTATGCGGTAAGACGTAAGCTAATTGACCAATTGGATTTCTACAGTCCAAGAATAATCGGCTGTGGTTGGTCAATTAGCTTGCCGCTTTACGTCTTACTGCACACTTGACGGCTATTGTAGACGGTCCTTTAAGATAGATCTACAATAGTATTCTGCTTTAAGCAATGAAATGTAATTTCTGACGAGAGGCTTTTTTCGCACTGCCGAAAGTTGTATTAATAATCACAACAGTAATAACGCTTTGATCTTAGGAATTGCGACGTCCGCTAGCGCTGAGAGCGCTGTAAATTACGTCAGAATTTATCGCTCAGAGCAAAAGGCTAAAAAAGCTTATTACATATTTTAGTTCCAGTTTCATATCCGTTACATTCGAAACTCGCGAAGAGAAAAGGGAAGTGACGATACGCGGTGCATTTCGAAACGGCGAAATGATGAACGCTTGGATTGTGATCTGCGTGTTACGGATGTCGCGGGTGAAACCTCGTAATTTTGCAATTTCCACCGCTAAATCCGACGAAAGGCGATGATGCTACGATAATATGCTCCATGGCAGTATACTCGAATAGCAATCGTAGGATACTATTCGTGTTATCATTCCGACATTACTCCGCAAGAAGAACACTTATGCTGTCAATTCCGATTACCCGAATACTCGAATATTTTAGTAACTGGAGTGTACGGCTAATTTTAGACGTTACAATTTATTGATTTTTCTAGATGCCATGGCGCACAGAACAACGTAAACAGTAAAACATAAGAAATAAGCGAATTGACCAATCACAGTCGATTATTCTACAACCGTAAGAAGAATGATCTACTGCGATCGGTCAGTTTTCTAATTGTTTAGCCCACACAACGCGTACGTCTAAAAGATGCCTCAAAAACACTCCTTGAGACGCTTTACTTCCTCGGAGACGTCTTCATGACGTTTCAACGTTCCCTGGCTAAGTTTTACTACTTACATTTGTCTATGTGCCATGGCCGTAACGATCACAGATAACAATAACGAAATCCGAAATCAGCCGCGTACTCAATTGCCGACAGACTCACCCGAACAGCCGAAACCTGGTAAACAGCAAATATTAGCAACATAATATCGATGTTTAATGTCTGACGCCACAATGTATATGTTACATAACACGTGTGTCACGTAACAAATTATGTCATCGACGTTATGTTACTGATGCACTTGGTGTTAACCGAGAATCGACGGCACTAGGGAAAACGCGGTAGCGCGGTGGGGTAGTTGAAACGAACGAATCGTCCGTGCGAGTTGCCTCGCGACAATCGCCCGGACGGCCCGGTTGTTCCTCGGACACCACGTCGGCGCGCGTTTCGGCCCGCCTTATATCCGGAACACGAAATCCCTTCCAGCGAACGACGGGGCGAGTCGCCTTCGCGGCGAACGCACGAGCTCGGACACTCAATATCGCGCGGGTGTACGGCCACGTACACGTGGATTAACGCAGGTAAAGTTATCCGGCGTGCGAGCATACGACTCTCCTCCGTGGATCCTCGAGTTACTCTACTAGACTTACTTGACCTACATGAAGCGAACATAGCGGCGCGCGCGCGCGTTTAATCAAAAGTTCGCCTATCCGCCCGACGACCCTCAGCTTATACGGATGAGATTTTATTACTCAATGTCGCAATGACATCAATTATTAGCTTACATCGACATCGCGGTACATACGATCGCCCTCCCCGGCGATGTATAACTTCGGCCAGCTCCCTCGACCACCATGATCGGGTGTACGGTTGCAGGTCGACCGTATTGATGCTCGCAGCCGAGGCCTTCGCGGTCCTGTTAAAATATGCGCGGCATGACACGATCATTTGTCACGACACTTAAGCTTAAGCCTCCCGGCCCCGCGCTCCGCACTCCTCTCGTTTGATGACGTCGAGAAGCGAGAAAACGCATGACCGAATTCTTGTGAAATACGCGTTGAAGTAGAGTGTATCCGTGAAATGTGCGACAGTTACAGTCGATCGAGCAGATTTGTAAATTTGCCCGAAAACTTCATTCTTCCTCTGACAATCAATAAATAACCATGAAATTGGCGCGACATGCAAGCCATTTTTTTGACTTATCGTCTCTCATCATTTTGTCGCATGAATGCTCCTGATCCTTTAGCCTTGTTTGACAACGTCAAAAGCGAGAAGTCGCACGCAAAAATATATTACGGTACACGTGGAGATGTGCACAAAATGGCACTCGTGATCGATTCAGTACTTGTAACAATATTCGGACGCTTTCCCTTAACCTGAACAATCAATAAATAGCTGTGAAATTAACATAACAAAAATCTTGAGGAAAAATCGGTTAAAAATGGAAATTGCGTTGAGATTGAGATTTGTATTTATCTATTTTAAAAGAAAGTGAAAATGAAGAAAGGAAACAAATAATAAACAACTCATTAACTTTATTTCAAGTTAAATTTCACTATGATATGTAACAACATAACGCAATGCAAGAAAAATTACATTCTTTAGTACAGTAAATACTGTTTAGAAAGAAACTTTTGAAGAATTCAGTAATCGAACGCATATATTTTCCAGTTTTTGAAATTTTGATTATTCACACATTCGAATGTCGAATTTTCACACTCCAAAATTTTATTATTCAAATATAATATGTCGAAGGTACCAGAAATTCGAAGTTTCGAAAAGCCGAAACTTCGAAACTAATTTCCAATCTAATTATGTATTGATTGTTAGCGCAAAAATAAAGTTTTCGAACTATTTTACAGAATTGCCCTATCGACTATACAATTGTTATTTTATAAATACATTTTCTTATTTAAACCGTATTTCGCAAAAAGTCTGGGCAAACATTTTCTCGTTTCTAGCATTAAAAATAGCTAATTAGCGAGTTACAAGGGTTTACTTAAAAAATACACAAGCTTGGGTCACTGATTGGAATAATTCTTATTTCCAATCGATTCTTCTAGTAAACTGATAGCTTTTTTCAATCGGATCATTTATTCAGATCGTTTGAAATAACAAAATTGTTTCTCAAAAAACATGAGAATGTACTGACTGCTTATGTCTTCCGAGATACTTTTCTGTACCTCATATTTTTATCTGGCTTAAAATCGACGCGATATTATTTACTCTTCAGCTATTGTTCTTTAAAGTAGCTACGTTACTAAAGACAAATATAGCGTAAAATTCAACTGGCGCAGCAAAAATTCCACATACGGTTTTAATTTTACCGAGGAAATATTAGCTCCCGCGAGAGAATTTTAAATTAAACAGAAAGCTTCGTTTTTTATCAGATATTTATACTCTTCGGTTCACATAGCTCTTGGAATTTTCATCAGCGTGTAATATCACGTGTACATCGGTCTCCACTTTAACGTTCGTGCTCCGCGTTACAGTTTATCTATAATCCACATAATGATGCATGTACCCGCCTCGATGCGAATGGGAGGGAAATGTGCATGGTATTCAGATGCGATACTTCCCGCAGAGCGGGGATGGTTAAACTCGATTGGTATAAAATCTAGCGTCCCCGTGCCGTGAAGCATTCAGTCATTCACAACGAGTACCGGCCTACACCAACGACTGTGATCACCATGACTTACAAAGTAATACTCCGTATCTTATCGCTTATCGCTGCTTCGTAAATGGGAGCTCTTCCCGTAATTTTCGGAAAGCTATGGCCACAATCAGCGCGTTGAATTTTTTCAATAATTCATTATGTTTCATCTGTGTAACAGTAATCCTGCTGTTTCTCATCCGGGTTTCTATTTAACTTCTGTCCTCAATTTTCTATTTTCGCTGGCAATCGGAACGAACGGAGAAGTTGGATTAAAGATTTGATGAATATCGAATAAATTAACGAGCGCCGATTCCTCGTATTTATAAGTTTTCGCAGTTTATATCTGCCGCCGCGGCGATATTATTCATGGCCGGCGTGACTCGTTATAGAACGTAGGAAGTTCATTTCATTTCGTAGCGTCGCATCGAACGCCCGGCGCGCGCACTTGTTGCAACGCGGCTGATTCGGCTCGGCGATATTAACGGAAACCGTATTTCAGTTAATCACCTGGCACACACCGATGATATTTGATATTTCCTTCCTGATGCACAGATTATCGGCTATTTCGCCGCCTTACTGGCTGTCGCCCGTGCCGGGATCATTGGCCCGGGTGCAGCTGCAGTAGCCGTCGCGCAACAACCAGCTGCAACGGTTATCAGAACCGAAAACTACGACTCACATCCTCGGTATAGTTTCGGTTATAGCGTGGCGGATGGTCTCACTGGTACGTCCTTGCATTATCATTTATGTACATATTCGTTCGATCGTTTAAATGCAATTATTAAATCTGCGACTCGAATCGTTCGATCTAAAGTACCGAAAACACTTGGCTTGCACGATGCAGTCAGATATGACGACAAATATGACGATAGCCTCCGACTGGATAATTCTTGAAGTGGAAGAGCGACAATCTAGAGACAATCCGCGGGCGATACTTTACAATTAAAAGGGAAATTAAACGACGAAACCGACGCGCCTCCCCGAATTTGCGGAGCGAGCTCCCGTCGATATCTTGCGATTCGGCCGGTCGGACAGTCGCGTTGCGTCTGCCTCTCGGATTTCCATCGAATTAGGATTCAGAGGAGAAATCGTCTCTCTGTTCGGAAGTTAAATTAAAACCCCGTTGAAACAATAAACGAGCGCCTTCGGGAACGCATAACGATGCAAGGCGAAACTCGGTCCCGTGTATTCGAGAAAAAGCGTGAAAATTAATAGATATGATAAGACGACGTATCCATGTTTCTCGGCTAGAAAATATTAAACTCTGCCGGACAGAATGAACTTCATCTGCTGTACATGGTCTAAAAAAATTATAATACTTTTTTTGTATAAATTTCGGAACGCGAAATTGTCCAGTAACCCGGGATTTGCTTTTTAGAAATTTTCAAAAGAGATATTCAGTTTTGCTATTGGATACGAGATGCGTCGCAAAAATTCATCGAAAATAGTGTTGCAACCTTTTTGTGACTAACCATACAGTAGTTGAAGCTGAAATGGCAATTTCTGTTTGCAAGCGTGTTCGATTGTAATATTAGCGTCCTTTGATTTTCCGTTGTGTCGTTGTCTCCAGTTTTATTGAGCTTTCTTCTTGTGAGGAAAGTAATGAATCAGCGGTAAATAATTTATTTGACAATACTATTTTATAGTGTAGGTTTTGAACTTTCCAAGTCGCTTTGAATCTTGTGCCAATCTCTCTCCTCTGTCACTGAACCACGCAAGAAAGTTTAGGGTCAGGTTCTGTGAACCGAAATACCTGAGTTTACCGAAGGGCTGTTACGATCGACGATTCAAGACGAAGTGAAAGTGACAAAAGTGAACGAATTTACTAGAATATTTATAATTTAATTGGTCAACGCCTAGTTAATTAACTCACTTTTGTAATTTTCACTTCGTCTTGAGAACCGTAATAGCCACTCTGGTCTTTCAATCGACACATCTGGATTTTTCTACGAATTTCAGTGTAAAATATCATTTCGCAGAATACAGTTGAAGCTACCGGTGATTTTCCCCTGTTTTTTTTTGTTTGTTTGTTTGTTTAACCCTGGAGTAGTCGCGTACGTAAATGCGACACGAGTGGTCGCGCGGACGACAAGTGCCCTCCATTTTAATGTTGACCTTTTCAATAAAAATATCGTTCTAGAAAGTAATAATACTTTTCTATACAGTAATAACAATCATAAAAAATCTTATTTAAAATGGACGAGAGCAGCTCCTAACTAACAAATACACGGAGGAGTAAGACGAATGCTTGTCAGTATTTTTGGGAAGATGCATTTTAGTGCGCATGGATTGACATCCACACAGTCAACTGTTTTCATAACTACATAAATTTTAGTTTTTTTCCCCTTTAACGAGAGGCTTTAGAAGCCGAAAACAAAATATCGGTTTTGGTCGGTTTTCCCTTAATATAAACGCGAAATTTTCAAGGCGACAACAAGGCGCAGGAGGAGATTCGCAACGGGGATGTTGTCCAGGGAAGTTACAGCTTAATCGAGCCCGACGGCGGCCGTCGCGTCGTCTCCTACGCGGCCGATCCCATCAACGGTTTTAACGCGGTCGTACAGCGGGATCCTGGCGTCACGGTTAAGACCGCCGCCGCCGTCGCAGCTGCACCGCTCGCCGCTGCAGCGGTGCGACCCGCCGTCGTAGCGCCGTCCGTGATCGCCGCAGCTGCGCCGGCCGCTGTTGCAGTTCGCCCGCAGGTTGGTAATCCAGTTACTTTAAAGCGCGCGACGCTTTTCCCCGCTGGTCCATTAGTCTCTCCGAATGAGAGATCTACCGTCGGGACTTTTTGCTCGCAATTTCCAGCGTCGCTTTTTCCGCGCGACGCTGACAATTCTATGCCGGGCGCATTTCGCCGCGCTAAAGGAATTATTAATGCCCCGACATCTGTGTCGAAGGAATGGGAGGTCGGTTACCTAATTCGTGTCCGGGAAAATGTGATACTTTGACGGGAGAACTTGTACGGTCGGCGTAATGTTTGCCGTGTCGTTCCTTGGACGGATCACACGATTTTCAACCTTAGAGTGCCGTCCCGTGACAAAGATCTTTCGCGTAACGCATATCACGCATAATCAGAGGCATTACGCGTTTTCTATTCTGTTATTTCCACACCTAAAACTACTAAAACTCGCGTAAATTTTCTAACGTATTACGCGTTTTTATATCAAAGTGTGTATGTACAAGCGTATGATTGTACATTTACTATGGAAGAATCACCTATAAGCATGTTAATTCATTTTAATTAACAATTTTATCACAAAGTCGGTTTAGATGCAGTTGTAAAAATTAAATTCTGATATTTAGAAGTAAAATATTCGTACATATGAATTTAACATATTGAAAGCAATTATAAAAGATATGGGAAAAATTGAACGAAACGAGAGAAGTGGGTATGACAATCAGCGCAGTCCATGGAAACGTGCAAACCATGCGCAGGCCTGTTGTAGATCCAACATAAGGGTTGTCCTTCGCCGAAACTTTGGCGCCGTTTCGTGAGCCGTTCCGTCCGCCCTAGTATGTCGTGATCTACTTACACGTCCGCGTAGAAATTTACTTCTTTCCCATATACAACACAAATTCCGATTATAATACTCGAAGTTGTTCCCAAATAGGTTATCCCAATTGCTACACCAATTGGAAGTCCCAAACATGGAGCTTTTTTTTTTAAAGCTGATTGCTTGCGCGCTGCGATTTGCCTCGTGCCGCGTGCGACTATTGTCATATGTTATACTTTGAATGTTACTATGCTTCACACTTTCGCAGCCGGTAATTTTTTCATCTTTTTAAAATTAGAAACCGAGCGTTTGGATCATTTACAAGTTACTTGTACCCCGAATTCTTTGCATTTGCAATATAATTTGTATATATAATCGCGTGCAAAATCACCGTTTCGCGATAAACGGTCCGTCGATATCGCGAAACGTGTCCTTGCGAAAGCTCAGCACATTACTTAATGATACAGGCGACTGTCTTGGGTGTTCCCCTGGTGAGGCAGCCGTTCGTCTCGGGATCTACTTTGGCTGCTACAAACGTCGTCGCCGGGAATTCGGGACTAGTGGGTCTGGGAGTGGGCCTGGGACTTAGATCGGGATCTATCTACGGTACGCAGGCTGTCGTCGCGGACAGTTACGGTAGCGGCAGCGTCGTAAAGATTCATTAGACAACAGCGTACAGTCCGACCTTGATTCACGTTACTCGGCTTTCCCTCATAGCGCAATCGGAAACACTCCGTCCGCCCTAGTGCGTCGCGATCTCCTTACGCGCGCGCATATCTCGCCACCACTTACCGTCGCATTACAAATTATACGTCTAATGGTATCCACTGAAGCATCTAGGTCACTCGTAAGTTATTTACATCCTGAACTGTAATCGTACCACGAGCGTAGCTTACAAAATAAAGAGCTGAGTATCTCGGAAACGATTAGTATGTGGATTTATTTATCAGAGCTTTTCTTGGCCGTCTTCTTTCTGTTAGCTTTACTCTTTATCTTATTATTTACTCAGTTGTTAAGTTGTCGTTTTTAAATTCGATTAATTTCTAACGCGATATGTCACTCTGCCTAAGAGAGATGAAGAGGAAAAGAGATTGGGATACTTTGGCCAGCCCAGATTGGGGAAATTTCGCGCAGCGTCGAAATGGTGTAAACGCGGGACTTTGATACAAGAGCGCTAAGAGAGCCGCGTGATCGATGAATGACGGCTTGATGAGTCGAAATGGAGTTGACATCAACAAGAGAGAGAGAGAGAGAGAGAGAGGGAAAGAGAGAATGCGGGGGTGGAAGAGGTTGCGGTCGGGCTTAGGAGAAATCACCGTTAATGGCGCGACCAAAGGATTTCCGGGCGTTCCGCGAAGTTTTTACGAGTTCGCCGAGCATTCACGCTCAGTCGTATCAAGATTCTCAGCTTTTCAACGGCAGACGTGCTGCGGTCGACCAACATCGGCTCTTAGTTGCTTTTTTCTGTTGCCATCCATCTTTCGTCGGTCGGCACCCTCCGCGCGCGTCTATCCGCGTCTATCATCTCTAAGCCCAGTCCCGTCAGCGCGCGTCCGCGTTTCATCCGGCTAAACGATTATTTTTTCCGCCGTAACGCGTTAGACCACTCCAGCGTCTAAACGTTGCCCTAATCTTCCGGCCGCGAAGTCCGAAATCGGCGCAACGATGATAAATTATTCGGCGAGGCCGACAGCTTCGTTAGACCTGCTAATTTCTGATATCTTCTTCTTCGCGATAGATACTTCATTCGCGTTTTTATCGCGAGCGCAAACTTGCACTCTCTTCCTCCTCTTCCTTTCTTTCCGCGCGTGAGCACAACTGCGGTGTCATCGTATATACGTAATAAGATAATAAAAAATAATCTCTTTTTTCACTTTTGTCCCTACGGTTAGATTTCTCCCGGTGGAAGTAGTTGCTGCTATTAACAGACTTTGGCAGCGAAATTTTATCGATCGTGCTATATTTACTATGATCACTAGTGACTATTGACTGCTTCACAATAATAGTACACTGATTGCATTTTAGAGAGCATTCTTTCCTTCTCCGGAGTATCGTCGCGCTAATTAACACGCTTCTCAGGAGCGCGATGCCTGTTCTATGGGAACGTAATGCCGTATAACATATTCTATTCGAGATGACAGAACTCAGCTTATATTCTATCAACATGAATCGTGTCAATGTAATTTTCAATATCGTAGCGTAATGCTACCCGGCGAAGCTTAAACATGTACGTGGCAATTTAGGCGTGTACCAGCGCAATACCGCGATGCGAAGGATGCATCAAGCACGAAGTCGTACACAAGTAAATATGTACCGACTGATGTAGACGCAGAACTAACAAGCAGTATCGATTAGTCCGGGCGTCTTTATAGTGTATGTTGCGATGCCATCTTCGGTTTGAATTTAATTCCCTCAGACGTTGTTAGCGCATGTAAATCTCGTAAAACACGAAACAGCCCCTCACCGTGCCTCGTCTATTGTTCCAAAGATATGCTTGTTCAATTAACATACTACAATTACGTTTCAAACGTTCTCACTCTGCGTCAGTCTGCTAGAAAAATTGATAATGCACTTGCGCGTAATCCTATACTAAAAAAACAACCAGCACATTCATCAGTTGCTTATTTGAGATGCGAATTAATTATTTGAATGAGAGCCGTTGTTTAATTGAAGATTAATATACGACAAGCTTCGATAATACTTTAATAATTATTCAGACAAAACTTATTGATGCTTTCTGGTCATTTTGTATTCGGATATAATATAATATGATACATATATGTATCAGGTTATTAAAGTATAACAGATTAACTAGATAATCAAATGTAAATGTGCACATTACTTCGCTCATGCTGTCATCATGTCAAAAGGACGATAATGACCTGCTCCTGGAATTAAAGGGTAACTATCACTTGTTATTTTTATTAATTTCAAGAAGAAATTTATACAGTCTCTCGAGTCTCCGTGTATTACGTCGTGACAACTATCGATTCAACTAATCAGGAAACTTTTTGTTCCGGCAGAACTCGTGGTGGCCACACGGTGAATGCGGTTCCCGAAGGGTGCAGTTTCGGTGGACGCGGACGCCGGAGGAATTACCGCGCATACAGGTTGTGTGTATTTTAACAGTTTGAGTTTACTTGATTCAGGGGCTAATGGCTGGCGGCAGCGCGCGTCCGTAGTGTCCGGTGCGGTGTTGGAAAAAATATGACTTTTCTTATATCTAAATAAAATTATGTAATTATATCTAAATAGTTCCTTTATTTGAAAAAGTGTTTTTATTTGAAAAAGTGTCTTTATTTGATAGAGAACAAAATATACAGTAGTAGGAAGTTTATGATAACATTAATATTATATTGTGTTTTTCATTATCCAAAAAATGTCCTGATTTAAATGTAACAACCCTCGCCATGATGTATAATACGTCTGATATACATGACATAGAGAGCACTACATGGGTTTTCAATTCTTCATAATAAATATCTTATTAGATAATAGATACGGGATTTTGCCTTAGATGCAGATATCAGATAAACGGTCTAGTATTGCCTTAGATTAAATATTAAAACTACACCATTGTATAATCACTTAGATATGGATATTAGATGACTTAATTTACATCTAGATATGAATCTAAATATCATTATCTAGATACGTTTCAACATATTGGTCTAGTGTGGCAAAATAAGAGCGAGCGATGAAATTTCTTACCGCAGATACCTATAATACGCGACGCAACAGTTCTTAACGTCATCTGATTATCGCCATTGAAGGGATGCGAAACCCAAAACTTCTCCGGGATGCGGGAAGTTGTGGTAAATCCGGTACTTGGTGGAACTTCGAACTCCGGAGAGAAACCCCAAACATCTGGAAATATATACTAACGCAGCGTAGCCCAGAAGTTACAACACAGAACATTCGAACCGGTTCTAATGCCGTTCCAATGGATTCTCCCAATATTGTGCGCAATACCACTTTAACTCTGAGGAAAGTCTGCTCTTTAAATTCGGAGTGATGCCGCGCGCGCATGTGATTTTTCGGAAAACGTCACACATGTCTCACATTTTTCACATCAATTCGACCGATATTTAGAGCGACACGAGATCCGGCAGCTGGTTGCTTCCACTTTGTCGACTATGTGGCGCATTACCGGGGAATCTGCGTGGAAGTTTCGAGCTCCTCAAGTGTTTCGATTCCTACGAGAAATATCGGAAACTTGTCTCGCGCGAACTTACGGTTATTATTCGCCGAAAGGCCAGCGAAAGCAGACACACACATACACACATATAATTGCGTGTACCGAAAGCTTCGGCTTGCTCAAAGATTCCCCGATGCATTTACCGCACTTTCGGGGCATTCCTGGCGTAACTAATAAAGCCGCAACGTACTTGATTTGTAATTCGGCACGAGATGCGTATCACTCGGCAGAAAGAGAAAGAGCACAGGATTGAGGGAACGAAGAGGGGGGGGGGGGGGGGGG